CCTCCACCGAGCTATTGTCTTTCACCCTTTCTATTAGAATCCCACATTCGTGGAGGTAAAGAAAAGCAATGATTCTAAATAAGATTATCCCATTCTAACTAATACCGAGACATTTTGTGATAAAACTCCACACTTGACGAATTGGGCATGCGGTAAAGTTGAATACAATGTTAGTGTTGTTAGAGTGGGGCAATCCTACATATATGTTGATTTTATGTTGTTGAAATTTGTGAAGCCCGATGCCATTGTTAAGAGGTTGGGCTACTCCCCATATTGCCAATTAGGTTTATGGTGAAACCTCAACTTTCTTCATGGTATCAAAGCAAGTTGTCTCATATGATAAGTCAAACAGCCACATGCGCTCGACGTCAACCCATTGTGTTGTTCACGTGTTAGTCTTAAAAATTCGCCATACATGAGAGGACGTGTTGAGAATGAGTCTTACATTGATGGGAGGAAGGATCTTGCATGGGCTTATAAGAGGTTAGGCTACTCCCCATATTGCGAATTGGTTTTATGGTAGAATCTCAACTTTCTTCATGGTATAGAGTCAACCTCTGAGTTTCAATTGCCGATGTGTGGATCTCCACATGCGAACCATTAAATGAGGTAACACGTGAGAGGGATTGTTAGAATCCCACATCGGTGGGGGTAAAAGAAAAGCAATGACTTTAAATAGGATTACCCCACTCTAACTAATACCGAGGTCTTTTGTGGTAAAACCCCACACTTGACAGATTGGACATGTGGTAAAGTTGGGGACAGTACCGGTGTCGTTAGAATGGGGCAATCATATTTAAACCCATGGTTTTCTTTTTCACCCACCGACATGGGATTCCAACACTCTCGACATCAGTGATAAAGTGATTGCAGTTTGCACGTGTTCAGAAGAGGACGAGAGGAGTGACAGTGTGATTGTGTGGGTTTGAGATTCGTATGCAGTCGAGTCAAAGGAGAGGAGTGCGGCTTGATTAGGTTTTTCTTTTTTGAAATTACATAACTATCCTCAATTAACTGGTGCTAACAAAGGTTAACGGTATGTGGATGAAACCAAAATGACCCTTGAAATAAATGGAAACTAATGAAAAAAACTTGAAATTTTTGAGTTTTAACGAAAAGAACAAAATAAATAGTAAAGTGAATAATATCATGATTGACTTTTTAATGTAAAAATGTGGTTTTTCGTCAAAGTAAATAGTACTAGAAGATTTTCGTTAAATTTCCCTTGAAATAATGGATGATTAACAGGTTCATTCGTTAAAGACCCGACCACTCACCCAAATGCTTATTTTTATTGAATGAGTTAGGTCGGATTAAAAGATTGGACCTAAAATGTCACCCTTATGTACAACAATACCGGTATGACGATTGGATTTGTTTTCTATTTGAACAAGCAATATCATGGAAAGAGATTCAAACAAAGTATTACGAGTTACTAATACATATTTGAACACTTTAAATTCATGAGATAAATGCTTCTTTGCGAGCATTTATCTCATTAGTTTTGAGAGTATAGTCCAATGGGACTTGAAGGATAAATAACGACTTATTTATTGAATCCATTTGGATCGAAACACTTCATTAAATTTTGAAGTGAATAATATAGAACGCCAATAAAACTTAGAATTTATCATCTTAAAGGAGTGAATTCGATTGAGATAACTTGGACTCAATTCTAACCTTGTTTAATCTTAACCACTAAACAATCCCTAAGATAAGATTAGTTTATTACATAACCCGAATTAGTAATTACAATGTATGTGAGATTAAAAAAGGTGATGGCAATAGTAAAAGGCGGGAGCTGACCATCGTCAAAGCTGCTAAATCTGGCAAACGCACAAGCGTTGATTGTCCGCTTGTCGTTTAGGCATGATGGGACCAACACTTTCGACGCCGCCGCCGCCGACGACGACCACCACCACCACAAACATTTGAGGCCTTGGCGTCGTAGACTGCTCTCGTCGCTAATGGCACTCCGCTACCTCTCCTGGGCTTGCGCCTTCCGATCCGCCGTCTTCCTCTTCCTCCTCGCCGCCGTCGTCACCGCCTGCGTCACCCTCCCCATCGAACAGGCACCCTCTCTCTCTCTTTCTCTCTCTCTCTCTCTCTCTATATATATATATATATATATATATCTGTGTATATACATTCTTAGTGTGTTGTTTTGCCAATGCTAACGTTTTCTGCTTAATCTGTAATATCTGGATTTTGGGTGGAGCTTAATGCAGGATTTAGGTTGGATTTTTGGTTAAAGTTTGTAAATTTATTTAGCTAAACCCATGTTTGATTTGCTTATTAATCCAGTTTTTGAAGGACTTCTTGATATGGGTTAAGCAGGATCTTGGCCCCTGGGGTCCACTTGTGCTGTAAGTTTCATCTCACTTAGCCTTAATTATCTTTTTTTGCATTCATACATCAATGATGTATATATCTATGTATATGTATATGTAAGAGCATATTCAAGTAGTACATTCCTCTATCTGATTTCACTATATCATCTGTCTCATATTTTGGTTTGGGAAATTGCAGGGCTGTTGCATACATTCCTCTCACAGTCCTTTCTGTTCCAGCTTCTGTGCTTACAGTAAGCCAAAGTTTCCGATTTCCGGTTGCTTTAATTGTCATCTAAAACTAGCTTCAAACTTGTAATTATTGGTGAAGATCTGTAGCTTGTCCAAATTTTGACTTTTAATGCGTTATCTAGTGCGCGTTTATAGTGGACGTAAGTGTAGGACTTATCTTAGTTTTGACCATTTGGTGTTAATTAACCCCCGTTGTTGAAAGATGAGGGATCCCTTTGTGATTGACTTGTTTTTCTGTTGCCAGCTTGGTGGAGGTTATCTTTTTGGCTTGCCTGTTGGATTCGTTGCCGACTCTGTTGGTGCAACATTAGGTGCCACGGCGTCATTTTTTCTTGGAAGAACAGTGAGTCTCTTAAGACGTTGATTTTCTCGGTTCTTCTGTATGTGTGCTTGGATGTGTATGCTTTTGTCATTGTAAGCCAAATAGTGGATTTGACCAATGATTTTGATAGTATCTGTCATTAACAGCTTTGTACACTTACGCTTATCTTAACTTTTTATCTTCGTGCAGATTGGAAGATCTTATGTCACTTCCAAACTCAAGAATTATCCAAAGTTTCAAGCTGTTTCTATTGCAATTCACAGATCTGGTTTTAAGGCATATAATTTCTGAACCTTTTGTTTTTGGACATAGTATGCCGGGATGTGATATATTCTGTGGTTGGAAAGAAGATGAATTCTTGCAGTCACAGTGACCAATACCATCAACATATTCATAGACATATTGTTACTATTTCTGATGAGTAAAATAATATTTTAGAATCCGACAGGGCCATATCCGTAGCACAGAATAATTAACCGAGGGTGATGAAACTGTACTCATATGATCATGTGAGAGTTCATGTGAACTTAGAAACCCCTGCATATATAGAGTAGTATTTCAAGGAGAAAATTCCCCCCTTGCAATCTTGAGACCTTCTAAGTAGTGTTAACTTCCTTAGGACAAAGTTTAAAGTGATTTGAGCCAATGTCTTGTAAGCAGGTTTTGCTCTGGCTTACATTTTGATTGCAGTAGTAGTAAATTTAAAAATTCTATTGGTCGATGCATCTGTTACCTTATATATAAACAGTTGTAAAAAATTGATTTGAGCTTATATTCTTGCTTCTGTGGTTTTCATTCTTCTCCACGAAATTCCTGATCTTTCGTTTTCTTCTTTTGGTGTTTGCCCAACAGATAGTTCTGCTACTTCGGCTTGCTCCTTTGGTTCCATTTAACATGCTGAACTACCTCCTCTCGGTGACTCCTGTTAACTTAGGGGACTATGTACTGGCATCTTGGTTGGGGATGATGGTATTCACTTGCTTTATTTACATTCTGATTTAGCCATGAAGATCATTTTTCATCTGAGCTCATAATTTGCTGATCTATCTAAATTTTAAATCCGAAAAGTTCAGCGCCTACATCTCATTGGTGTCAGAAACACAATTCTATTAGAGAGTACTTATAAGTAACCCTGTCATTCTAGTGATGAAATCTGGTCTGCTTTTATATTTCAGCCCACCACATTTGCACTGGTGTATGTTGGTACAACACTTAAGGATCTTTCAGACGTTACAGACGGGTGGAATGGGGTTTCAACCACTCACTGGGTAAGTGCTGCATGACCGTTAGAGCTTTAAAATTTTAACAGGAGTGCAACAGACTCAGAGTTTCTCGTCTGTATGGAATGCTACGTGACTACTGCATCCTTTCCTTCTTCGATTGATATCAGTATCGGCTTGTGGTTGCAGGTGTTTATAGCCCTAGGTTTTGGAATATCCGGTGAGTGTTTTTCTTTATCTTGAATCGTGATATAGATAATTTTCTTGTGGTTAGCATGATATCTCATTCTTTGACCGGTAAATTTTGTCTGAGAATGAGATCATTTCGTTTCCTTTCGAGCATTTGCTAAATTTTGAGTTCCTTTGTGTTACTTGCACAGTGATTCTAATGGCTTGCATTACTAAAGTTGCAAAGGCTTCATTGGACAAAGCAGTGGCTGAAAATGCTGAAATAGAAGGCATCTTGTCCCCTTCAATGCTATCCATCGGAGCAGATTCGTCCTTGGATCTTCTGAAGCCTCTCATAGTCCGGATAGACTCAGACCGGTTAAGATAGTATCACGAAAAGAAACTGCAAATTCAATGTAAATGTTTTTCGTCATTTACGTATAGATGTGATATTTTTGCTTAGGAATGAAGTGTAAATGTGCAGAAGAGAAGAAGGTTGTCTTCTCCAGCATTCGTGTACAGCACTTCCAATTTACAGCACCCGAAATGATTTGTTTTCAAATTCAATTGCGTGCTTTCGCATTCATCATCTCTTACGCGACGAGAAATCCCCAAAAGTGAATTTGTTAGGAGATTTACCAGTTGCTACACAGTAAGAACAAGATTCCAAGCTTGCCAAACTCGTCGCAATTTGCAAGTATTCACATAGAGAAACTTGTGCAGCAAGTCACAATTCGTATTTTAATGAAATCTTATGAAATTCAACAAAAGAGCAACATTAAACATGATATTTATGTAGTGTGCAAAGTATCTATCTAACAAACTCAAGCTGAATCTTCGGAGTATTCCATTGGCAGCAGCAAAAGACCTTTCTTCTCCAACAGCTCGCTTGCTGCCAGTACATCTACCTCCAGTAAATTTCCGATCATTTCTTCGAGAGGTTCATTCAGCATCTGCTGGTGGCAAAAGTAGTGACCATATCCCTGAGAAACATAAAAAGATCGATCATATGAATCTCCCTTGCATAATGTGAAAGACGGATGATTTTGCCTTAACCCAGAGCGTAGAATAGATGAATTTACCTCACGGAAAATAATAGGTTCAGCAATCGGTTCACCTCCCAATCTGCTTCTACTTAAGTCCTGAAAAGATGAGTAATATAAATATCCTTATTTGTAAAAAGAAGAAAAAAAACTGCCATAGAATCATGGCTTGTTCCTGTAAGAACAATGACAATCCGAATACAATCAGCTGATGACGCAACACTGCAGTTTGTATTTTAGAGAAGGTGCTCATTCATGTAAAAATCATGCAAACCTGTGGAGTTGCAGCGTAAAGAGACAGATTTACCTTTATCTGAAGCTTCAAAAACTTGATCTGGTCAATTACATCATCCAGTACACATACTTGACGACCCTACACATTCAAAAGTAACCAGTTATATGGATGGACATCTCACCGCATTCTCTGCAAAAAATATGTTTGCCTAATAGTAGCATTGAATCCGAGGCCATATATAAGACACGATTAAATTTGTAATCCTACTCTGTAAAGCCTACATTTGATCTTTATGATAAGCATGATATGTCGGTGAAACTCTAATTATGTTTATATGGACATCTAGCACATGAGCAACTGCATACATTCATTTCTTTCACATACATACCTCTGCAGGTTCTGGAAGCAGTTCTTGCAATGCACTGAGCCTTTCACCGATTCGCATCCTGCGATTCTGAATAAATAAGAAACCAGTTAAAGAAATTAATGTATCTCCAACAAAATGTTCAACAAAATTCATTTATATTAATTTACAAACATTATGACTTGAGGTGAACAGAACAGGTAATGGTGATGTCTGCTATCTGAGTGGAAAGTCACACGATTGTTAGACAGTTCAGTTTATCTACTCAAGGCACTAGGCTTACATATTCAGATGAAAATGTTCTCTGCTTCGAAACAATGTGATGTGGTTGGCAAAGAGAACCAGGTGTGTCAATTGTTGCTCTTGGATCAACTTGAGAAACACTATCATAGCTATCCCAATTTGGATTATCTGTCCTTGAAGTATGATACTGCAGAAAGTACATTGCACAGCATTATCATGATAAAGTTCTCAAAAGAGAAAAAAAAAACCACTATCGTTGAACTGATTGCTCGAGGCAATCGCACCTGAATGTGATATCAAAGAAAGCTGTTAAAATTCACTTAACCTGCATGGGAAGCTGATGTTGTGTATTCACAAGTTCGTCATTATGTAGGCTCAGAAGTTTCATCTGTCAAAAGAATTCAATTACAAGAACCAAAACGAGGAATTGGGTGAGAAAAACCAATTATAGAGTCAACCAGACAGGGAAGTTCCAACCATAAGCATTATCCATCAAAGACAGGAAAGAAAGAGCTTCAAACCAAAGAAATATTTTCGATTTCTCATCTTAATTTCAACGGACAAATGTAACGTTGCATTTCCAAGACTATTACCTTTGAAGAGTCCATATCCCTAGAGAAATCAGTTGATTTAGAACCACAAGCATTGCCCAGACCACTGTACAACCCATCTCGTTGGAATTCAGAGACCCTGCCAACATCATGTATGCTAACAACAGATGAAGGAATGCTTTCCCACATATCTTCACAAGGAGACTTTGGGACAAATGCTGAACTCTCAGCTAGATACTCAACGTAATTGTGGGATGGCTTTTCGGGTTGAATCCACCAAGGTAAAGAAAGAACATCAGTTTGATCCGCAGTCCTTCCAGCCTCCATCATAACCTGTTGGTTCAGATTGTATCCCAGTGCCTCAGAGATATCATCCGCAGCATTCCCACAGAAACCCATTGACAGCATTTGTATGGTGTTGGTGAGGCTACTCTGCCCTTCCATACCAACCCGATGCAAAGGATCTTCGATCTTAACTAAGCACGAGCGAAGTACGGCATTACTACCAATGCCAACCCAAATCATATGTTCATGGAAATTTTAAAGCTCTGTATGCTATAAGTTATTTAAACCAAACAAATTAAAAAGAATGGTGAAATGAGGTAGAGCTGTGGATTTCTACTACCACTAGAACAATGTCAATAAACCCAATTGGAAATTTGGAAGCTAGTACGCAAATCCAAACAATATAGTGGCAAAAAAATTCCTATTTAAGATGTAACTAAGAACCCATTTTTCATGCTAACCCAAAATTAACTTGCTAATCAATTACGAACCCACAAAAAATCTTCAACCAGAGATCACAAACAAGCATAACCATTCAACAAAAACTACTACTACGAAAAACTGGTAATTGCCAAAACAATGAAAAATTAAGAAAAATGTAAGAATTAATGGCAGAATCGTGCTGGGAAAATGGGAAGAAGTGAAATGGGTTGCCTTGTGATTTAAATATGTTACCTTTTTGTGACGAGCGGAAGCACGAGAGCGGCTTGCGGTTCCGGCGGAGAGGGGGGAGGGGGAGCTTTGGAGTTTTAGGGTTTTTCAGCGGAGAGAAGAAGAGATGGCAGCGAGGTGTTGGCGCGCTCTTGCCTGCATTGTGTTTGGCGTGGGCAGCAGAACAGTACGTACAAACAGAGAGATGAAATTAAGCTTTGTCGGAGGATTGCAGGCCAGATGAAATGTCTCTTCTACCCCTGATTTAAACAACTGACGTCCTACAATCTTGCTATACAAAAATGGAAAATAACTGATGTGTTAATTATATATAAATTATAAATTACTAGTTTTCTGTCATACGCTTATTTTTATTTTTTATTTGAAAACACAAAAGCAGAAAAACAAAATAATATATTTTAACAAAAGAAGTGAGTTACCGGAGTGGGTTTTTCTGTGAATTTCTATTTTATTTGAAAATTTAATGGGAGATGATTTTGGAATTATGAATGTTTCACTATTTTTGTCTTTTCCTTTTATATATATATATATATATATATATTTTTTTTTCTCTTCTTTTCTAAATCAAATCCCTATAAGGTAAAAATCTCATTTACTTTTCAAGTTAGCGAGTGAATATCAAATTTCAGTAAAAGCAACTTCCCAAAGCCTAACTTGACCACGTGATCACTTTTTAAACGATATTTTTGTCAATATTGACAGATTTTTCACAAAATAACTAAAATGATTTACGATGAACAAAATCATCAACTACTGATTGATTACCAGGGTTTATGACTGTTTGGATCCAAATTTACACCATTGGCCCGTGTAATCAAGGCCGTTGAAGGAGTACAGTTCTCAACTGTCGGATGGAAAAGTGGAGATAATTTTTGTTATTGTTAAAGGATAATATTATAGTTTTTATCATAATAATTATTTTTTAATATGAATTATCTTGGCATATTCTTAAATGGGATGGATAGGATGCAGATTATATCCCCAAGCAAGTGATACAATTCAAATTGATTTGGGATATCTAGCGTGTGGTGGTGGTGACAGATTGGCAAGTAGTAAGAAATGAATTTAAAATTGTTTGAAATTCATTTAATGGGATCAGGATGCATGGATGGGTGATGGGATTATGACAAGAAAAGAAAGCCTAGCTAGGCTAGGCTTTTAATTACGATGGGATAAGTCAAAATGGGCTTTTATCATCTTTGAAGAATCAACCATCTGAAGATAGGCTTTAGCACCTGTGCCACGGGTAAGATTTTATTCGACAAGTTAGAGTTGCAGTCGGACTCTACACAATTATCTAGCCGTGCCAAACAAGTACGTCAGTCATATAAATACAGATGCAATGGCAACAGAAAAGGACATCCAACTCAACACACAAACTGCCATGCGCAAACCCTCGTTCTACGCGAAACCTCTAAAAAACCTTGAGATTTTTATTTTCCTTTTTCGCCAACATCTTTAGTTTAGATAAACAGCACTGTGAAGGCAACTGGCGACATCTTCAGTTTGGATAGACAACACTAGAGCCATAAAATCAGTCGACCATGGAGCACATTCAATTTGGATAAACAGCACTGTGACGAAGCCGACTGGTTATTTATCCAAGTCTCGGTCAAGAAGGATTTTCAAATCCTTATTGGAAAAAGTCATCTCATCAGCCTTTTCGACGAAGTGAGGTGTTACCAGGTTACTCCATTTGGCACCTTGAGAGCCGAATTTAATATTGAACTTCGCAGAACTAGCAGCCTTGTCTTCAGGCTTTAGAACTCGAAGGCCGAGGCGTGTTCCTTCCTCGACTGTAGTTGCAAGATTCAGAAGTCAGCCGTGCGCTCAACGCAACATCAACATATTTTACTCTTTGGCCGACGAGTTAGCACGTCTGTATACAACCAAATGACGTAGTTAGCTCATTAGTTACTCGCCATGCACGCCATGTATGCTTGGTAGTTTTTAGGGTCAATAATGATTAAAGTGAAAAGTTATGCAATAACCAGTTTCTTTTATCAACCAATCCTTATAAGGAAATAATCTCATTGACTTTTCAACATTTCCTCTCAAATTGGATAGTGAATATCAAGAACTCCTAACTTGTGAAAATTTCAATAATGCAACTTTTACCAAAGCCTTTGTAAATACCTCAGTTGGCTGTTGTGTAGAATGAATATAATCACAACTGGACCTTCTTGAATTTTGTTAATAAAATGGCAATCTATCTCGATATATCGAATTCTCTCATGAAAAATGAAATTGGTAGTGACAAGTGAACCCTCTTGACTTTGTCCCTAATAAAACTCTCATTAAAAACCAAACTAGTAGCTATGTGAAAATCCAACTATTTGTGATAAAAACTTTTTTCTTTTACCGTTACATTTGTGATTAGTTTAGAACACGACACCTTGGCGACACACAACATCCATCTACGTGCCACGTGGCCAGAGTGACAATTAACTTGAATTTGGATCCTCGCTGTGAAGATCCCAATGATCCATCAATCTTGTCCGTTCATCGTATATCGTACATATAATTAACTTTACTAGGAGGATCCTCATCAGATCCTCTTTATGAGGATCCTGGGGATCCTTCAATCACATTCGTTCATCATATATCATGCGGTCATAAATCATTGTAAATTTTTTTATTTAAAATTGAATATAAATAGTACCTGACAAAAATTGACCGCATAATATACAATGAACGAATATGATTAGAAGATCTTCGAAATCCCTGCATCCGGCGAGGATCTTCTCTCTTTACTTAGACCATCTCCAATGGTGACCTAAAACCTAAATTCCCCCCCTCCCCCAAATCCACTCCAACCAAAACCCTAAACCAAACCTAAAACCTAAAACCCAAAAGGAAGGCAAATACCGGCCACAATTTAGCCCACAAATTGAAGTGGGACACACAGATGAGAGTGAAAAATGGGCTGTGAAGCCCACACCCCAAAACCCAGTCCCCCAACGCGCCTCACGCACCCTTTTTTTTCAACCGAAGGCCCACCCACGTGGGTTGTTCCCCTCTGCTGTCAACCTTATTGTAGCCCAACGGCTACTTTTCTTCATCCAACGACTAGTTTAATTGGACCATTGGTTAATCCAACGGTCCACGTTCAAATATTTTTTTTATATTTATATATTTATTGAATCCAATGGCTTAAATCGAATATAATCATCTAACGGTCCAAATTTAAATCCAATGGCTAAAATTATTTTTAAAAAATTATTTAACTTAAAATTCAACCAAAAATTTTATAAATACCTATGTATTTGTTCAAACATCCACACAAAACTCACTTTTCTCCTACAATTCTTCCAATTTTTCTTTATACAATTTCTTCTCATTTCCAAAATTTTCAAGATGGCAAAAGAGCATGTTAGAGGTCGTAATTGGACCTTTGACGAAGATATTGCTTTATGTTTGACATGGATTTCTATTAGTGAAGATAGTGCCGTAGGCATGAATCAAAATAGAAAGGTTTTTTTTTTTCTTTAAGTTTATGTGGTTTATTAATTGTCATTTGTATTAAGTTTATGTGGTTTATTAAATATCGTTTGTATTAAGTTTATGTGGTTTATCATGATTTTCATGTATTGATTTAGTGATTTTTCAAAATTTATAGGAATTTAAATATTTTTAGGTTAAAATGTTCATATAATTAATTTAGGATAGTCTACATAATTTTTTTTAAAAGTTAATTTAAAAAAAAATTAGCCTTAATCCATTCTTTGATAATCTTGGGCTAAAATTTTAGGCCAAAATGGTTGGAGCAGAAAAACTGTTTCTGGGCTAAAATTACCTAAATTTTCTGGACTAAATATTTTTAGGTTTTAGGTCATCATTGGAGATGGTCTTAAGAGTGAGTGAAATTGATTTGCGTGTGGCATCTCCACCGCAAAGTATAAAGTATATTCTAGTGGGGAAATTTTATTTAAACCCACGTAATCACTTTATACATCCAATTTAAATTTTAAATGTTAGTTATCTATTTTACCCTATTGCATAATTACTATTAAGTACAAAATGAAATTAATAATAAAACTCAAATTTATCAATAAACCCAAACACTATAATTAAACCCTACTATCACTCTTTGTTTATTCTACATTCATTCCGGCTAAAACCCTAATAGCTCTCATAGAGAAAAATAAGTTTTTTTTATTTTTTATTAATGGATGGTGATTTTGAAGTTTTGAATCCTCCAACCAAGGTATGACTCAATTTATGATTTTTTTGTTCGTTTGATTTCAATTTTTTAGAGTTTAGAAGATGAGTATTTTGGTTTTAATTTTTTTCAATCAATCTCGCATAGTTTGTTTATCTTTTTACAACAGCAAATTGCTGCAGTTGCTCAACAAAAGAAAGAAAGAAAGTGTTTCAATTAATATTAGAAACCATGTTGAAATCGATTGATCGAAGGAGGAGTCTTTGCTTAGCTCCTGCTCCAATTCAATGATTCTTCCTGATTCACGTGTAGCGATCCGTCTCTACCATCACCACCACCACCACCACCTTCTCTCTCGTCTTTTCCTTCTTTTGCGCCATATTTCTTTTTTCTGTAGTTGCCAACAACTATGTGAAACCCCCCAATCATAAAAAAAAAACAACTTCGATAAGACACAACCTAATCACCTCAAACCCTACCTAATTTATTAATTAACCAAAAATCATCATGAATAAATTTTAGGGAACTTTAACGAAAAGCTCCCAATACTATTCACTTTAACGAAAAACCATATTTTTACACTAAAAAGTCAATCCTGGTACTATTTATTTTATCATTTATTTTGTTCTTATCGTTAAAACTCAAAGTTTTCAGGAGCGCATACGGGCTTTTGTAACAGAGAATTAAGAGGGAGATGGAGATGTTCTCATCATGCAGGTTCAAGATCCTCTCCGTCGATTGTTGCTCCATGGTGTTTGTGAGGTACATTTTCTCATTTACCTTTTCATATATACTTTCAAGGATTGATTCATGCTGGATTATGAACCCATGCATTGAGCCTTCCATTAAAATTATAGCACGACTAGATTACTCGGTCTGAATGCATCAAACCATTATCTGAAGTAACATAACATATATAAACTGGTGTTTGAATAGTTCTACAACTTGGTATCGGCAACGGTTGATGACTCAGAGAATGGGGAATCGACGAAAATGACCAAGATAACGAAGAAAAAGAGGCGTCAGATCGAAGTTCCAAAAATCACTTTGTCCGATTTCTTGAAGATGAACAAACAAGGAATGTGGTGATTCCATTTCGATCTGGTTAATGTATGATAAAGTTGTGCATCCTGTGTAAGCTTGTGAATTACACCATGTAAATTACGTGACTGGAACACGAGTGGTACCACGTGTTTTTATATAAGTGGGGAGAAATTTTATTTTTTAAGTTATTAACTTTTTAATACACATATCCTACCATTTAAAAAGTGACATGTGGTGTACCACTCTGTGTACCTATCACACTGAAAAATCTCTCGTACATTACTAACTCACATTGCCCTATCTCCAAGAAGTTCATTCATTTCTGTAGGCTTGTACTCTGTAAAGATTATGTCAGAATGTATTGGTTCCGTCTCTCTGCCGACAAATGTCGGTTAGGCCGGCTTGTCCCTTGCATCCCAAGTTTGGATCATGCTCTTGTATCGGACTTCAAATCATTTTCTCTCTCGCATTCTAAGTTCGAATCTCTTCCTCGTATTGGACTGTGATTTCTCTCTTGCATCATAAGTTCGAATCTTGCCCACGTATTGGATTTTGATATGAGCTTTTAGAGCATCTTTAATGGAGATGTCAAACTTTAAATATGAAATTTAAATTTGATAGCTGAACATCTTTTAAAGTTTTATTTTTTACCAAATATGACGAATTAAATTGTTATTTATTACACAATTTACTTTTCATAATTTTTATTACATTTTTTAAAGTTTACATGTTCAACCCACAAAAAAAAAAAAAAAAACTAAAAAAAAAACTCTCTCACCGAACCCTCAAAGCCCAATCTTCTTCTTCCTCACTGAACCCACAAAGCTCTCTTTGTTCTCACCAAACCCTCCCAATTTCCTCACCTCCCACCACCCAAACTCTCTCTCACCTCCTCCCATCATACAAACTCTCTCGCTCTCTCCTCCTCCCAGCGATGTCAGTCTCCTTTCGCCGCCCAAACTCGCTCGCCGATTACGACCTGCAGGGACCTAGATCCTCGCGATCAGATCTGAGATACTGACTCTAACAGAGAGCCGTTGCGCTGTAATGGGTTGGACATGCTAGGTTAGGAGGTGGGCAACGAAAAGAGGGACTGAGATGAGGAGAATTGAGATGGAGGTGGATGAGGGAGGGGACCAGATCTGCACATAAAGGGAAATAAAATTAATGAAAATGACTTGAAAATTTTAAATTTTAATTAAAATGATAAAAATGTGTTAAGTGAATAGTAACATGAATGATTTTTAGAATAAAAATATCATTTCCGTTAAAGATAAACAGCACATGAAGTATTTCGTTAAAATTTTCAAAACACATAGGAATGAGAAGATGGAAGGGTGAAGAAAATAATAAAGAAATTAATCAAAAATATTTAATAACTAATTAAAAAATAACTTTAAAATATTTGAAGCCCAGGAAGGGATTTGGATCCTCTCCTTGGGGATTCTAGGGATCAACCTTGAGGATTCTAGGGATCTACGTATGTGGATCGTGGATAAAAAATCATATAGCCTCAACTAAATGCTTTTTATATTTTTAAAAGTAAAATAGTTTCGTTTTGTGTGAAAAATATAAAAAAGAAAAAAATTGTGATTGCACGATTTTTGATCAACGATCCACGTGTGTTGATCACTAGAATCCTTAGGGAGATGATCTAGCGAGAATCCAAATCCGGCATGAAGGGGAAGAGATGCTATGATTTGACTTTTCGGTTGAAAAATATTAGTATTATATTTTTATCGTTATTGTTGATTTGAACATTAACTTGTACAAAATAAGCCTTTGTATTAAATGTCTTTACCCACCTGCGGCAATAACAAGTAGACTACTACATAGAGAGGAGTAATGCTAGCGACAATAAATTTATAGATAAAATTTTGTAAACTAAATGATATAAAAGTTGATGATTGAATTTTATTTAAGCATCGATAAACGTATTCATTTCTTATTAGCGACACATCGTTTAGTTTGCAAAATTTATCTACAAATTTACTCTCCCTCGCATTACTTGAGAGAGTTACATATTTTGCTCCACAATCATTTCAATTTTCCATCCACCATGGCGAAGAATGCTGTGAAATATTCAGTGGTACTCTCTCTCCCTCTCTCTCCCCTGTGTATATGAATTGAGTGCTGAAGTGGGTGTGTGCAGGTGGACGCGTTCACTGACTCAGCTTTCAAGGGCAACCCAGCAGCGGTTTGCTCGCTGGAGGAAGACAGAGACGACCAGTGGTTGCAGGCGGTGGCCGCCGAGTTCAATCTCTCCGTGACATGTTACTTGACTCGGCTCCTCGGTTCGGTCTCAGATGGTTCACTCCTTCCCTTGAGGTCTCAGCTCACCTCTCTTCAATTCAATGGTTTTGTTCATATCATATCAATTACACTTTCCTGGTTTTGAAGTGTTCAACTTTTATCTGGGTCGATATGGAATGCACGAGAAGATTTGAGTGTATTGAAAACAGCCAAGAATTCAGTTTAAAGTTGTTCCTTTTAGGCTTTTAGCATATGGATTTATTTAAAAGTGCTACTGGGTTGTTAAAGCAGTTGGAAAAGTGCTTCTGGGTTGTAAAAGCAATTGATTTTTAGTAAAAAGTTGGACGTGTTTCTAAGAATAGCTCTTTGAGGCTTTGAGCAAAAAGGTTTATAAGTGGAAGGGCTTTTGTACTTACTAGTAGGAAATTATTTTGGAATATCGGGTTTTTATTCTTAATTAAATCTATTTAAGGCCATTTTGAAAGTGCTTTCTACTTATGTGCAGAAGTGCTTTCTCAAAAAGCACATCCAAAACGATCCCTAACTTAGGTTAATTTCTCTAAGCTTAATGTGACAATGTGACTTTTCAGTTAAATGATTTTACTGAACTGGACTGGTATTGCTAATTTTTTTTTTTTTTTTTTGTAACCGATGTATGTAGAATATGCATTCTTAATCAAGATATGTAGAATATGCATTCTTAATCAAGCTTGAAAATTTGATTGCCCTTTTGCAGGCTAAGCTTTGTGGTCATGCAACATTAGCAGCTGCATACACTCTCTTCAACTCTGGCTTGATAAAGTCCGACATCGTTGAGTTTGCCACATTATCCGGAATCCTAACAGCTAAAAAGGTCCTAGATGTTAAGACGGCCAACGGTTTGAATACTCAAAATGGTGAAGCGCAAGAATCCTTTTCTGTTGAGCTGAATTTTCCTGCCGACCCCTCTAATCAATTCAATTCCGGTGATGTTTCGGTGATCTCCAAGGCTTTGGGTGGTGCTTCTATGGTTGAAATAAGGAGGACAACCGTCACAGATGATTTACTTGTAAGTCAAACAATCCTTCCACAAACCTACATTTTCAATTCCGTATTATGCTTTCGATCGATAGAAGCATATATATAAGACAACGGACAGCTTTTATTATATTGGATTGCCTGTGCAGTCTAGCATGTACTCCTAAGTGATACTGGTTTCGTTTTTCAAGGTTGTGCTTCCATCAGCACAAGCTGTCACAGATTTACAGCCGAAGTTAGATGCAATTCGACAATGTCCAGGGTCCAGGGGCGTGATTGTAACTGGGATTGCTCCTCCGGAATCTGGATATGATTTTTACAGTAGATTCTTCTGCCCCAAACATGGAATTGATGAGGTAAGCAGTTTGCGTTCGTTCTCTCAGCAAGTTTCTATCAAGTGCCTGATACCTGGTGCCAAATGCTGTATCATATTTCTATCAGCTTTGCTATGTTAGATGAGAAAATTATGTACCTGCATTCATAAGCCTCTCATTTTTTTTTTCTGCTAACGTGGATTTAGAACATTTGAATAACCTGCTTGGAACCATTCCTGTGTCTTTTCCCGCGTAATCTTTGTCAGTTTTGTCATTCCGAACTAAGTACCGGAATATATATCTGAACCTGCTAACATGGATTTAAACCATTTGATATATAAATCTGAATACTGCTAATTGTTTACGTCAGGATCCCGTTTGTGGGAGCGCACATTGTGCCCTAGCATCATACTGGTGCAAAAAACTTGGAAAGTCTGATGTTTTTGCTTATCAGGTACTCTCTCTCTCTCTCTCTCTCTCTCTCTGGTCTTATCAGAATCTTAGTCCCCTCATATGTTGGTGTTTACTTTCAGGCATCACCTCGAGGGGGAGCAATTAACATTCATCTAGATGAGCAAAACCAGAGGGTACTCTGCGAGGAAAAGCTGTTCTTGTGAGGGAAGGATCTGTTTTAGCCTGAAGTTGGAATTTTTTATATTTTGCAAGTACAATATTTGAAATAAATGACTCAGTTTTATGAGACAAACCATTATATTTGAATTAATTAAATTTGAGCAAATTAGATTGGTGTGCCTTGATTTTTCATTTCGAAATTTCTATCCCGACTTCTTCATATTGGCATCTTGAAACGTTCTACTGCTGCTCAACTTTCCATCTCAGCTGAGCTGCTGAACTCTCCCTCCCTCCCTCGCTCCCTCTCTCTTCTCTCTCTCTCTCTCTCTCTCTCTCTCTCTCTCTCTCTCTCACACACACACACACACACACACACACACACACACTAAAATGTGGTTTTCTGTTTGGCATATTTGATGTCATAATCATGCTCATTGTTCAATCACCACAAGGTTCTTGATTCTTAGAATTTTTTCAGTGTGCCGAGAACACGGCTACTGTCACGGAATATCTACTTGTAAGTCCTTGGGTGGTGAAGCAGAGTCCTATTTCGTTGAACTGAATTATCCTGCCGCCCCATCTAAGGAAATTCAACTCTGATGAGGTTTCGGTAATCTCCATTGTGAGAATGCGAAGGTAAAAGAGTCCTACATTGGTGAAAGGAGAAACTTTGCAAGCGCTTATAAGACGTTGGGCTACTTCCCATATTGTCAATCGGTTTTATGGTGGAATCTCAACTTCTTCATCCATGTCTTTGGGTGGTGCTTCTACGATTGAAATAAGGAGGGCTATATTTCCCATTGCATATTATGCTTTTGATCAAAGGTTGTGCTTCCATTAGCACAAGCGGTTGCAGATTTACGGCCGCAGTTTGATAAAATCAGAATTTTTCCGGAGTCTAGAGAAGTGATTGTAACGGGGATTGCTCCTCCAGAGTCTGGATATGAATGCAGTAGATTCTTCTCCCCTAAGCACAAAATTAATGAAGTTGCTCCTCCAGAGTCTAGAGAAGTGATTGTACTCTCTCTCTCTCTCTCTCTCTCTGTTCTTTTCATAATCTTACTACCTTGTATTGTTGATACATTATTGTTTACTTTCAGGCATCGCGTCGAGGGGGAGTTGTATGCATTCATCTAGATGAGCACAATCAAAGGCTACTGATTGTTGGAAGCTAACCAGCTCCTGGAGTCGGGGAGTCGAAGGCAGCAAGATACTCCCGAGCAAAAGGATGTCATCTGCATCGAAGAAGAAGAAAGAAAATGAAGGGTTCTAGTCTCCAACGGCTAGTTTTGTTTTAAATGTTTGTGTAAGTGTGTGAGTGACAAATGTACACTCCAGATTAAATCATTTAACCCCAAAATGAAGGGTTAAGATGTAATCTGGAGTAGTAAGGCTTAATGGTTGTTAAGGCCTCTTGTCAATCACCTTTTGTAGAAAGTATGGGTGATGGAAATGCACCATACTCTTGTGTAAAAATCACTCTTCTTATTCAATCAAGGCTGCTGCATTATTTGCATAGCAGAAACCAATCTCCAAGTTATCTTTTTCAATTTCTCTACTATCCTACCTAAAAGAAACCGATTCAAACACTCAATCAAAAACACAAAATAAACAAACTTTATCATGGCCTCAGAGCTTTGTTATTGATCTTACAACTTTCGGGGCGTAATCTGTGCAAGATAAGATCTTTGGGAGCACCAACGTAGTGTCTTCTATAACAATAATCAACAAACAATTCTGGAAATGAAAGGATCCAGCAGTAGCAGTGAGCTAAAAGCTCCAGTCTTTGATGGGGAGAATTATGATTTTTGGAGAATAAGAATGACAACCATTTTCAAATCCTATGATCTATGGGATATGGTTCAACATGGGTATGAACTACCTGAGATGGAGATCGATGCTCTAGAGGAGGATCTCACAGAAACACAACTCAAAACACTGAAGCAGAATCGGATGGAGGATGCTAGAGCACTTGGAATCATTCAAGGTGCTGTCTCAGACACCATTTTTCCGAGGATAGCAAATGAAGAGACTGCAAAGGGAGCTTGGGAAGTTTTACACAGCAAGAATACAGAGGAGACACCAAAGTTAGAAAGGTAAAACTTCAGTCCCTTAGAAGAGATTTTGAGTATACAAGAATGAGGGAAAATGAGCTGTTAAAAAGACTACTTCACTAGGCTGTTTGATGTTGTAAACAAGATGAAAACATATGGTGAGGAACTGCCTAATGAAAGAATTGTCCAAAAACTGTTGATTAGTTTGACTAAACCCTATGATTCAATAGTGAGTGTTATAGAAGAAACCAAAGACACTGAAACACTCAGTGTACAAGAGGTGATGGCATCCTTAAGAGCTTTTGATCAAAGGCTCGAGAGGCATGCTGACTCTGCACCTGAGAAAGCCTTTCAAACACTCAATGTTGGATCTAGCAGTCAAGCCAGTGCAAGCAATCAGAAACCACAGTGGAAGGGCAAAAGCAAGAAATGGGAAGGAAAAGGGTATCACAACTCAAGACCTAACCAAGGCAGCAACACCAATGTAGGTCCAAGAACCAAGCAGCAATGTAAGCACTGTGATAAATTCCACCTTGGAGAGTGTTGGTTCAAGGACAAGCCTAGATGCCACAAATGCAACAGGTTTGGGCACATTATGAAGGACTGCAGATCAAAGAATGTGCAACAAGTAAACTGTGCAAATCAAGTGGAAGAAGAAGCAAATGTGTTCTGTGCTTTCAATGCAAAAATGGAGAGAAACAATGAAGTGTGGTACATTGACAGTGGCTGCAGCAACCACATGACTGCACATGAGTCTTTACTTATTGACATCGACACAAACTTCACTGGAAAAGTGAAAATGGGTGATGGAAACATTGTCAAAGCCACTGGAAGAGGAACTCTGGTTATCAACACCAAGAAAAGGAAGAAGATGTATAAGGGAGGTGATGCTAGTGCCTGGATTGGATGAGAATCTACTTAGTGTGGGTCAAATGATGGAGCATGGCTATTTCCTACTCTTTGGGGGGACTGTGGTTGAGATCTATGATGACAGATCCCTATCAAACTTGGTGACCAAAGTGGAAGTGAAAAAAAACAGAAGCTTTCCACTTGTACTGAAGTACTTAGAAGAAGTGGCAAAGAAAGCAAGTGTGACAAGTTCTATGAAACTATGGCACAAGAGACTTGGTCATTTAAACATGACAAGCTTACAAAATCTGCAAAAGGATGAAATGGTGCAAGGTATACCAAAAATGGATCAATGCAATGAAATCTGTGAAGGGTGTGTGTTTGGCAAGCATCACAGAGATTCATTTGAAGCTGGAAAGGCTTGGAGGGCAACAAAGCCACTCGAATTGATTCACTCAGATGTGTGTGGACCAATGAGAACAACAACAATCAGTGGAAACAGGTATTTCCTAACCTTCATTGATGATTATTCACGGATGTGTTGGGTGTATTTCATGAGGTTCAAGTCTGAGGTATTCACAATATTCAAGAAGTTTAAGGCAATGGTGGAATTGCAAAGTGGATACCAAATCAAAAGACTAAGAAGTGATAGGGGTGGTGAGTACACCTCACATGAGTTCAATGTATTTTGTGAAGATGTAGGGTTAGAGAAGCAACTCACTGTGGCATATACACCACAACAGAATGGGATTGCAGAAAGGAAGAATAGGACTATAGTCGAAATGGCTAAGTCTATGATGCATGAGAAGAACATGCCTTATAAAATTTTGGGGTGAAGCTGTGAACACCTCAGTGTATCTATTGAATAGGTGTCCTACTAAGGCATTGGAGAAGAAGACTCCATTTGAAGTGTTCAGTGGAAGGAAGCCTTCTGTGAAGCATCTGAGAGTGTTTGGCTCAGTATGCTACAATCTCATCCCTCATCAACTAAGGCACAAGTTGGAGAAATCAAGTAACAAGGGTGTTTTTGTAGGCTATGGTACCAGTGAGAAAGGATACAGAGTTTATAATGTATTGACTCAAAAGATAATCCTATCAAGGGATGTTATCTTTGATGAAGACTCAATGTGGAACTGGGATACAATGGTAGAGGAAAAGGACAGTGTCTCTCTACAAATTGACCTAAACAAAAGGCAAACAAGGGAGCCTATAGAGACCTCAGTTCAAGAAGAAGTCACAGATAATGGTGACATACAAGGGACTCCACAGCAAGCTACTATGAGTCCACAATCAAGTCAATCACAAACAACAACTCCTAGTTCAACTCCAGTAAGATTGAGAAATCTGGATGAGATTTATGCTACATGTAATTACTGTGTAGTAGAACCAGAAACGTATGAAGAAGCTGAGAAAGACAAAGCTTGGAAGAAAGCAATGAAGGAAGAGCTTGAAATGATAGAAAAGAATGACACTTGGGAACTTGTAAATCGACCAAGTGAGAAGCCTGTGATTGGTGTAAAAATGGGTGTACAAAGTGAAGCTAAATCTAGATGGTTCTGTGCAAAAGAACAAGGCCAGGTTAGTGGCCAAAGGTTACTCACAGAAACCTGGTGTAGACTTCAATGAAACCTTTGCTCCAGTAGCAAGGTTAGACACCATAAGGACCTTGATAGCACTAGCAGCCAAGAAGGGTTGGAAGTTGCATCAATTGGATGTTAAATCTGCATTTCTAAATGGAGTGCTAGAGGAGGAAGTGTTTGTGGAACAACCTCAAGGGTTCACAAATCAAGAGTTTCCAGAAAAAGTGTACAAGTTGAGGAAGGCTCTTTATGGCCTAAAACAAGCTCCAAGAGCTTGGTACAGTGAGATTGATTCATATTTCATTGAGAAAGGATTTCAGAAAAGTCCTAGTGAAGCTACACACTCTACACCAAAGACAGAAAGCAACAACAAGACACTCATTGTCTCAATCTATGTGGATGATGTTGTCTACACTGGAAATGATGCTGCAATGATGGAAAGAGTTCAAGGAAGAAATGATGAAGAGGTACGAGATGACTGACCTAGGCCTCTTGCATCATTTTCTTGGCATTGGGGTAATTCAAAAAGCAAGTAGCATTTTTATTCATCAAAAGAAGTATGCTGAAACTTTGCTTGAAAAGTTTGGTTTGAAAGGTTGCAAACCAGTTTCTACACCTTTAATTGCAAATGAGAAGCTCAAGAAGGAGGATGGAAGTGAACCTGCAGATGCTAGTCTCTATAAAAGCATTGTTGGCAGTCTATTGTATCTAACAGCAACAAGGCCGGATCTGATGTTCTCAGCAAGCCTACTTTCTAGGTTTATGCAGAATCCTAGCAAGATACATATGGGCACGGCTAAGAGAGTGTGCTAAGATATGTGCAAGGAACTCTTGATTATGGGATCAAATATGAGATGGGAAAGTCATCTATTCTAATTGGATTCTGTGACAGTGACTGGGGTGGCAGTGAGGATGATAGTAGAAGCACATCGGGCTATGCTTTCACTTTCGGATCAGGGGTTTTTTCATGGGCCTCTGTGAAGCAACAAAGTGTTGCACTGTCCACAGCCGAGGCAGAGTATGTAAGTGCATCAGAAGCTACATCTCAAGCCATTTGGCTAAGGTTCATACTTAAAGATTTTGGCGAATTGCAAGTTGAAGCCACACCACTTCTGTGTGACAACACCTCTGCAATTGCCATGACTAAAAACCCAGTATTTCATCAGAGAACAAAACACATCAAGAGAAGATATCATTTCATCAGAGAAGCATTGCAAGACAACACAATCAAGCTAATCTATTGCAGCACAGAAGATCAGATCGCAGACATATTCACAAAAGCACTACCGAAGGAGAGATTCAATTACCTGAGGGGTTTGCTCGGATTGACTCCCAGAAGCAGTTTAGAAGGGAGTGTTGGAAGCTAACCAGCTCCTGGAGTCGGGAGAGTCGAAGGCAGCAAGATACTCCCGAGCAAAAAGGATGTCATCTGCATCGAAGAAGAAGAAAGAAAATGAAGGGTTCTAGTCTCCAACGGCTAGTTTTGTTTTTAAATGTTTGTGTAAGTGTGTGAGTGACAAATGTACACTCCAGATTAAATCATTTAACCCCAAAATGAAGGGTTAAGATGTAATCTGGAGTAGTAAGGCTTAATGGTTGTTAAGGCCTCTTGTCAATCACCTTTTGTAGAAAGTATGGGTGATGGAAATGCACCATACTCTTGTGTAAAAATCACTCTTCTTATTCAATCAAGGCTGCTGCATTATTTGCATAGCAGAAACCAATCTCCAAGTTATCTTTTTCAATTTCTCTACTATCCTACCTAAAAGAAACCGATTCAAACACTCAATCAAAAACACAAAATAAACAAACTTTATCACTGATGCGAGGGAAAGCTGTTACTGTCATGGAAGGAACTGTTTTAGCTTGAAATTGGAGTGAATTTCATTGTGCTAAATATAAATATTTGAATAAATTACTCAATTAGTGTGGAACAGAAACATTATGTCAAGAAACATTATATTTGAATAAATTAATTAGGTGGGTCATAGGCAGCACTAAAATTGGTTTAAAAAACATTTTCACTAAAAATGTTTTCAGTCATTTTAAAAGCACTTCCAAATGCTCATAATTTACATAAATCTGAATACTGCTACTTCTGCATGTTGGGATCCCCTTTTTGGGAGCTCACATTGTGCCTTAGCATCATACTGGTGCAAAAAACTCGGAAAATCCGAGTTGGATACATGGTACTCTCTCTCGCTCTCTCTCTCTCTCTGTTCTTTTCATAATCTTCCTACCTTGTATGTTGATACATTATTGTTTACTTTCAGGCATCGCGTCGAGGGGTAGTAGTACGCATGCATCTAGATGAGTAGAATCAAAGGGTATTGATGCGAGGGAAAGCTGTTACTGTCATGGAAGGAACTGTTTTAGCTTGAAATTGGAGTGAATTTCATTGTGCTAAATATAAATATTTGAATAAATTACTCAATTAGCGTGGAACAGAAACATTATCTTTGAATAAATTAATTAGATGGTCCTAAGCAGGGTTAAGCGTAAATTTTTAAAATAGTGAATACCGATGATGTTGATGGTGGACGTGCATGGGCCTACAAAAAATTTCACAAGTTGCATGCGTTTTACACGTTTTTTTTTCCTTGAATCTTGATTGCTTTTCCTTTAATAATAGAAAGTGGGAGAAACAATGACTTGGCAAAAGTGATGCGACAATGATAGGGCGCGGGATATGTCGGATTCTTTACATGCAAAACATATGTACGCAAAAATAACGCATTACAATCACATGTTCACAACATAAGTTACCTGCACAATGTGAGACGGTAATTTGTATCGAAAGTCGAAAAACATATTCGATCAAGAAGACATAAGAAATGTTTCTTGACAAGTTGTCGGCAGGTGGGATCTTGTCGAGTCACTCTCTTACTTAAACTCTTTCTGGAGTGCTGCATAATCATTTCAATCGTCCTTCCAATGGCGAAGAAACCAGTCAAGTATTATGTGGTATGCTTTCGTTATCTCTTTTATGTTTGTGACTTCCCTGTTGGAATTTTTGAATCGCCGAGCTCACTCCACTCTAACGATATCGATACTGTCCCTACTCCTCATGTGATCTCAGTATTAGTTAGAGTGGGGTAATACTATTTAAACCCCTTTGATTTTCTTCACACGTGGAAATCCACATCGGTAATTGAAACTCAGAGGTTGGCTCACGTTGGTCATCGGTCGTCTCTATATTAAGAGATCAGACTTGTTTCCTTCCGGGTGGTGACAAGCTCATTGGCTTGCACTTGGCCCACGTTAGGCCCACTTGTTTTCAATTGGAACTCATCGGTCATCTCTATATTAAGAGATCAGACTTGTTTCCTTCCGGGTGGTGACAAGCTCATTGGTTTGCACGGGTCCGTAACTGTGGGCTCTGATACCATGTTGAAATTTTTGGATCGTCGGGCCCGTCCTATTCTAATGACACCGATACTATCCCCATTAACCACCTGCACAATCTTCAGGTGTGGGGTTTTACTATAAAAAACTTGGTATTAGTTAGAGTGGGGTAATACTATTTAAAATCTTTTGGTTTTCTTAACCTGTGGGACAGTTTAACATTCCCTGCATGGAAGTATCCCCACTCATTCACGCACTGCAATGTGGACGTGATTGACTTGGGGTACCGCGGAAGTATCTCTTGCATGTAAGGCGTGCAAGTAGTGTGTATGGGCTGACTGGTGAAATGGCTGTGTAGGTGGACGCGTTCACAGACTCGGCTTTCAAGGGGAACCCAGCAGCGGTTTGCTTGCTGGAGGAAGATAGAGACGACCAGTGGCTACAAGCTGTGGCCTTCGAGTTCAATCTCTCCCAGACGTGCTACTTGACTCGAATCAATGACTCTCACTCAGCTCCTCGGTTCGGTCTCAGATGGTTCTCGCCTACTAATGAGGTCTGACCAGCTCAATCACCAATGTTTAGTGTTTCCTTTCATATGATCAAATAATCGATCTTTATAGTTCCTCTGGTTTCAAGTTCGTAATCTGGGTTCATAGTAGCAAAGTTTGAAATATAAAACCCACGCCAAAATTTGGAGTGTCAAGATCTTCAGCAGCCAAGAATTCAGTTAAAATGGTTCTTTTTAGGCTTTCATGTGCGTAACTTTACTTGAAAAACAAACTTTCTTTCCACTCGGGTATCTAAATCTGATTCCCTTTTCGCAGGTTGAGCTTTGCGGTCATGGAACATTAGCTTCTTCACACACTCTCTTTAAGTCTGGTTTGATAAGTTCCGACATTATTGAGTTTTCGACTCTGTCTGGAATTTTAACAGCTAAGAAGGTTCTAGATGTTAAGACAGCCAATGGTGAAGCACAAGAGTCGTCCTATTTCATTGAACTGAACTTTCCTGCCGCCCCGTCTAATGAATTCAACTCTGATGAGGTTTCGGTTATCTCCAAGGCCTTGAACAGCTCTTGTATTATTGATATAAGGAGGGCAACTGTCACAGATGATCTACTTGTAAGTCATGCAATCCTTTTAGGAACCTGCATTTTCGGTTCCATATCATCCTTTCAATCAATATAAGCCTATAACTTTTCCTTTCTGATGGTTCTGCTTCATTCTTGTTTCATTTTCCGCAAGGTTGTGCTTCCATCAGCAAAAGCGGTTGCAGATTTACAGCCACAGCCTGATGCAATCAAAAAATGTCCGGGGTCTAGGGGAGTGCTTGCAACAGCGATTGCTCCTCCAGAGTCCGGTTATGATTTTTACAGTAGATTCTTTGCCCCTAAACACGGTGTTAATGAGGTATGCTGCTTGCTCACTTATCAGTTTTCGGTTTTGTGAACTCAGGAACTACGGTTGGTAAAAATCTGAATGCTGCTTCTTGTTAATGTCAGGATCCTGTTTGCGGGAGCGCACATTGTGTCTTAGCATCATACTGGTGCAAAAAACTCGGAAAATCTGATGTTGTTGGATACGTGGTACTCTCTCTTGCACTCGCTATCCCTCTCTTTCCCTATCTTCGTTCTGATCATAAGCTTACAACCCCTTATGTTGATACATCATTGCTTATTTTTAGGCATCACGTCGAGGAGGAGTAGTATGCATTCATCTAGACGAGCAGAATCAAAGGGTGCTGCTGCGAGGGAAAGCGGTTACTGTCATGGAAGGAACTGTTTTAGTTTGAAGTTAGAGTTAGTTTCATTGTGCAAGTACAAATATTTGAACTAACGGTTTGTGGGAAAAATAAAACCATTGTATTTCGAATAGATTTCAAATTCGATCTGTTGTGTTCGGTAATCCTGCATGTTTCTTTAAAAAATCTGTGTTCTGATTTATGATAAGTTGGTGAGACTTTGGACTTGGTTCCAAACGAACAGAATCAAGCAAGCTGTATGCGAAACTTTCTATTTCAAGGTGTAGTTCCTTCAATTTTTCGTTGTGTTTGAAACACAGTCACATGATGTTACTATTCCGCTCAAATAAAAACATGTGGATTTGTTTTTTTATTAATATACCTTAGAATTGAGACATATTAACATTGACGTCCACCTCTTATTATAATACATAGAATAATACATCATGTGTCATGTGTGACATATCAACCATGTCACGTCATGCTCAAATGTATAATTTGGATGAAATAAGCTCATATTATTGTATTTCAAAGCAAACAATCTTCGGACGTGAGCAGTTTGTTTGAGTTGGAGGATGTCCCATGTTCGAGAGTCACACGGATACATAACACCATATATTTGTAAGAAGTTTGGTACTAAATAGTGAATGAGTTAACCGTCATTTGTAAAAGTATCTTTGTAAATATCGTGAAAATAATTTAACTAGAATTTAGCCATTTACTTGGACTTCTAAATTACTATTAATATGGAAATGTTTTGGTCCAAATCGGGGGATTCAAATCCCTCCCTCTTCGCATGCGTCTAATATTCTATTGGAAGGGGAAACTCATGCTTTCCGAGTGCAAAACTCTCCCTCTTTTAAATTATTATAATCATTTCAAATCTCTCTTCCCTCAGTAACAAAATAAAAAATAAAAAAATCCCTCCCTCTTCATGCAGATATCTTATGCACATAAATCCTTGGGATTCTGCAAGATACAGGTCCTCATACTCTCTTTTAATATTTACTTTCACAAAATATTTTCTGCATGCTAGAAAATCATTAATTCACTCAATCAAGAAAATTAAAAATAATTTAAGACAAAGGATCCTCTGTATATATATAAAAACCCTTCTCTCATTTCCTTTGAACTGCAAGAAATCTCAGCCATCTGATCATTCTTGATTCCAGGGATAATACTACAAAGCCACCATCCATGGCCCAGAATCACATTCCTCAGGTACTTACCAATTCCTACCAATTGAAAACTATTTTCTTTGTATACATTTTGCCAATTCTTACAATCCTCCTATCCTCGCAAAAAAAGATTGTTTTGTTGTCTTGGTATTGCTCTTTTTTTACACTCTGCTGCATTAATTTATTTAAACTAAATCATGGCAGACTGAGATTACAAAAATAAACATAGAATGTCCCAAATCTCAAAAGAAGCTCAAGAGATTCCTCTCAAATCTTCAGGGTATTTTTTTTATTTTGTTATAAATTTTTATTTTTTATGAAATAATTCGGGGTACTACGAAATTTCGTATTTTATTTATCTTTTTTTATGATCATATTTTCCCCAGGAAACTATTCTGTTAAGTTCGATCCGGAATCTGGAAGATTAACTGTTGAATCCACGGTAGACAAGAACATGATCAACGAGGCAGTAGGGCATGCTAGGTTTTCTGCAGGGCTCACGTGTGAGGATAATACTCTACCGCCACCCGACAGCAGTTTCTTGCAACCCAAGGCAACCGGCAGCCACATGTCGGACGGAGCACAAGATCAAGGGCTTGAGATCATAAGATGGGCTCAAATGGGGGAGCTCCAAAAACTTCCCAACATCCAAAGGCTACAGAAGTTGGAGCTTACTCAATCCGGAAGCAATCAAAGAATTAAGCTCACATTCTTCGACGAAAAGCCTGAACCTCAGCCTCAGCCTCAGCCTGAACCTCAACCTCAACCACAACCCCAGGCTCATGCTAGGGTTAATGTCATTAATGTCAAGGATGACGAGCAAAATGAGCCCCATGGCGGAGGAAGCGGCGCCAATAGCAGGCCTGCGAACGAAGTTTGCGGAGATCATGAAGGTGGCGAAGGAAGAAGCTGCACAAGTTCTGATGGTGGTAGCCACCACAACTTATTTGAGTTTCAATACGTTCATACTCCTCCTGAGGCAGCAGGCAATAATAATGATGATGATGATGATCATAATAATAATAATAATAAATAATAATAATAATAATAATAATAATAATAATAATAGTAATAATGATGATGTGTCGCATGGTACTTATTTGCCTCCTACATACCCTGACCGCGTGACAGTCCAGCACGCTGCGGTCCGGTGTGAGGAGGCCATTGCAAGCAGATGCACCATCTTGTGATGGATCCCGGCCAACAATATCTCTCCATTGCCAAATGTCATATGACTGATCATTGACTTGTGTCTATGCTTATCCGATTATTTAACTGCGAAATAAAGACTAGCTAGCTAGGTAGCTAGAGGTGTAATTTTTGTGATTTTTTCGTCTCTTATTTATTTTTAGGATTTCACAAATAATCTCCGAAATTGATCTATGTGTTATTATATTATTATATTATTCAATGTTATTACTTTACTTGCTAATTACGATAAGAAATATGAATGCGACACAAATCTTACATGAACATAATTGGGTAAACATGAATGTGACTCATTGCTACCCCTTCCAATAAAAAAGCTCCTTTTATTGTGTCATTTAACTTGCTTTAAGTTAGTGAGTAGGTATATTATTTGGCATTAACTGTATACATTTGCTAAATTATAAAATGCTTTTTAACGTACAAAAAGGAATTAAGAGCTTAACTTCCGCATCATGGCAGATTGTGCTTTATCGTAATTGCAATAAACTGTCATGATTTTTAACAAAAAAACATGCGACAAAATGCATAATCATTATTGTTTACTGTAATTGTGATAAAGCGCAATCTGCCATGATTCGAAAGTTTGAGCCTACTCACTAACGTAAAGCAAGTTAAATGCCACAATAAAAGGAGTTTTATTTCTTTATTTATTATTTATTGAGAGGGGTAGCAGTGAGTCAGATTCATTTTTACCCAATTATTTTAGTTAGATTTGTGTCGCATTCATGTTTCATGTCGTATTTATGTCAATCTACACGTTTCTTAGCATGTAAAGGCTTGAGAATAATAAAGGTACTCATGCATTAAACAACGTTTCTAAAAACACCATCTCCATTTATGGGGGAGATTTTTCAATGTGCTCGGAATATGGAGCGATATGCTATATGTTAATATACAAGTGAAGAAAGTTTTTTTTTTTCAAGTATCTCTCCACTTGTATGAAACATATAGCGTATGTGCTTATATTCCGGACACATTGAAAAATCTCTCTATACATGGAATGCTCTATTCTTAGTTACATATTAAGCCACCGAGTGATTGAGGAACTCGAGCAATCTCCAAAACATTTTCTTTTTACGTTTAATCCCTATTACCATATCTACACACCCTTTTACTTCTCATACACTTTTTGTTAATTTTTATTTTCTTCTTTAATTTAGTCAATCTGATGGCTACAAATTAAGAGAGTGTATAGGAAACAAAAAGAGGTGCGTGAATAGAACACCCATTTCCATATATATTTAGTTTGCATGCATTTCCAGTTGATAATTTGGTTTTCTCAATCCCACGTTGTACTCGCTTTGCCTTGCATATAGGTAATTGCTTTACGTGGTTTGAAGAGTATCATGATCTTAGATCTAATGATTTACTCGAGAATTGTAATACTTGAGTTTAAGTTATTTTTAGAAGGAAATATTTTTGGGAGCTTTAATGAAAAAGGCTTTTTCAAACTTTTTATTAACCAAAAACCATTTACTAACTTTATTTAATAAAAAGGACTTAAACTTTAATGAAAAAGGACAAAAACTAGAAAGAATAACCAAAATAAGGAAGCCTCACGTGCAAAATAAGAAATTCATTTTCCATCCATGCCCTTGCCTTCCGTTAGCCCACTTTTGTTAGAATTAAACTTTCATTTATTTACAAATATGTCATTGCCTCATTTATTTACAAATATGCCATTTTCTAGAGGATTCATCCAAAAAATAAATAAAAAATCTTTTGCTAGTTGATACCAATTAACCCCCAACATAATTAATTAGCTCCAATTCCTCGCCTTGCCACACATCAAATAAATTTAAAAAAAAAATTAAATTCCACAAATCACTACAAAATAATAAACTTTAGATTCGAAAATGGCATAATTTCACCGAGTGTATCACATTGCACATTCACTTGTATAATCCAAACTTCTACACAAATCACTACAAAATAATGAAGGTTAAGGGAAGATTTCTTGGATCAGTGAAACTTAAAGTGCGAGACTGACATCAATGTTTATGATTATGTTTTTTTTTTTTTTGGAAACTAGTTTATGATTATGTTTGGTCTGAATTATGTTTGGAAGTCTCATGCAATTGCCTTGGATCTATCTCATTATAATATTGAACTCATGTGTGTGTGTGTGTGTAGTGTTCCGTTTGAGAAATAGTCAGTGTTTAGTTTACGAAACAGTGATAGTACTAGTGTTCGTTTGATAAATAGTCAGTGTTTAGTTTTCAAAACAGTGAGTACTTGTGTTCAGTTTAAGAAATAGTGATAGTACTAATGTTCGGTTTAAGATATAGTCAGTGTTTAATTTAAGAAATAATGTTCATTTTAAGAAGTAGTCAATGTTCAGTTAAGAAATAGTGATAATACTAATGTTCCGTTTGAGAAATAATCAGTGTTTAGTTTACGAAACAGTGATAGTACTAGTGTTCCGTTTAATAAATAGTCAGTGTTTAGTTTACGATTTAGGACACAATGATAGTACTAGTGTTCCGTTTAAGAAATAGTTAGTGTTTAGTTTATGAAACAATGATAGTACTAGTGTTCGTTTGATAAATAGTCAATATTTAGTTTACGAAATAGTGATAGTACTAGTGTTCCGTTTAAGAAATAGTCAGTGTTTAGTTTACGAAACAGTGATAGTACTAGTGTTCCGTTTAAGAAATAGTCAGTGTTTAGTTTACGAAACAGTGATAGTTCTAGCGTTTCGTTTAATAAATAGTCAGTGTTTGGTTTACGAAACATTGATAGTACTAGTGTTCGTTTGATAAATAATCAATATTTAGTTTATGAAATAGTGATAGTACTAGTATTCCGTTTAATAAATAGTTAGTGTTTAGTTTACGAAACAGTGATAGTACTTGTGTTCGTTTGATAAATAGTCAATGTTTAGTTTACGAAACAGTGATAGTACTAGTGTTCCATTTAAGAAATAGTCAGTGTTTAGTTTACGAAATAGTGATAGTACTTGTGTTCGTTTGATAAATAGTCAGTGTTCGTTTAAGAAAATAATAGAATAATAATAATAATTAAGCATCTTGATCTTAATCAACAAGCATATGATAATAATTGATCATATTGTAAGTAGGGTCAACATAATCAAAAAATGACTTTACAGGGACCCTCGTTCCATTCAGCTCTACCTTCACTGTCTTTCCAAGGCATTGTTTCGCACCGAGCTAATTTCAATCCGGTTGAAAGTACTCCAGATGCTGCTGGATTCGCAACTGCATCATAGTGGGTTGTATCACCTCTAATCTACTAACACATTTGCACTCTTTTCTTTTGTTTTTTAATATCTCTCTATAGATATAATACTAATATTATGTATGCAACTACTCCAACATATGCCTGCATTGTGACTGACGGGTAGGAAGAGAGATGAAAATTTGAGAAGTGGTGATCGCTATTTATAGATGTGGAGGTCGGCTACAAACCTACTAAGGCTTAGTAGCCAAGTACTTAGCAGCCAAGTAAATATGTCGATAAATGTAGGGTAAATGATTAGGCTTGTGAAGGTATTTGTGTTAATAATATGCCAGCATAATCATCTAAGGAAATTGACACATGCATGAAAACGTGTCAATTAACTAGCAACATCATTGAACAAATGTTGCCACGTTTTGTGTAGGTCTCGCCTCCAAGCTTGCTAGACTTATTCATCCTGCGAATTTACATTAAGCCCTTAAGCCACCTAGCTTGTTAGCAGTGCAGGTTTCAAACTGAAATAGGGGGAGATTACCTATTACCTGATCCCAATGGATCGCTACTCTACACATACACATGCATACCTCCATACGTATACAAAATATAGACACGTAACAAACATAAAACAAAAGATATTTAATACGTTATGTATTTTTTGAAAACAGAAAACGAAAACTGGCAGGTAAAGAAGAGCCACAACAGAGTCCGATAAAAACCAGCAAAGAGAATCAAACCCAGTTGAAGTCAAAATCAGAGGCACCATCGGCAATGCTATTATATTCAACCCCAGATTCAAATCCATGGCCGCGGTGCCCGATTGGGACGAAGAGAACCTTCTAATTGCAAGCCGGGTGGTCGACGATACAGCGGAGAGAGATTTTAAACACAGGAGACGCTCTGTCTTGGACTCCAAGACCCCACCCACCAATTCATCAAGAAGCTATCAAATAATATAGATTATTCAATCTTTCTTGAAAATTATCTTATTCGTCCTGTTTGGATTTGAATTTTGAATCTTTTGCTTTTTCTGGTTCTGAGTTGGAATTGGAATTGCCAAGATTGAAGGAGATTTGAGGTTATGGATGGTAAACGGACATTAAATTGCAGTCAGGGGCAAAATAGAAAATTCATTGCTTAGGTCATTTTAATTGGGCTAGTTTAGTATTGGGCTTTGTCCTAACCATTAAATAAAGTTAGTACATGGTTTTTGGTTAATATTCAAAGTTTTCAAGCCCTTATCATTAGTTTTCCTAATATTTTTTAGGGTGACCGCGAGCATTTTATCAGTGGTTTTGGTTCATTATAATAGCTTTTTAGCTAGCTTAGTAAGCAACTGAACCATAAAGTTGTTTAGCTCGCTTAATCTTTCTATGTAAGTTAGGTCATTGGTTCCTCGATTTGTATTAGATTGTTGGTTTTTTTAACAACTTAGTACATATAGCTATCGCTCTTTTCTCACCAAAAAAACAAAATTGGAGTCAATAAGTAAAATTTCATGATCTACAACAAATATTTAGCATAGTTAAAACCCGAATATATATATATATATATATATATATATATATATATATATATATATATATATATATATATATCTCAAAAAGACAATTATCACTAATTGGAACGGTCAATTCATTCTTCTACATGGTCTTTATGTCTCTTCCTTCTACTTATCTATGGAATTAATAAGCTCAATGCTAGAAAGCAATTAAGTGGTAGCTGCTCTCTCTTCATGATGTCAAGGGAACTCCACGTCTTGCTGCAGCGACATGAAGCCTATAAAATATTCACGAACAGAAAATTACACCACTATAAAATTAGCTTAATGTGTTGGAGAGTGGTGATGGTTTAATACGGAAAGGGATCCTCTCCGGATCCTTTCCACCAAATCCACCAAATCAATAGATCCGGGACCTTGAAATTTGATCAAACGGCTACAAACAGGAGGCCCTTTAAAAGTTATAATAACTTTAGTCATTTGATCAAATTTCAAGGGCCTGGATCCCTTAATTTGGTGGAAGGGATCCGGAGAGGATCCCTTTCCGTTTAATACAATATCTTGTTGGATAAGATATTTCCGACATGTGATTTAGGTAATGTCAGATAACAATGCAGTACAATGTCAATAAACGCCAGATATAATTTACACTAACTTATTACCGATAGGAAAAGTGCAGTGGCAAAATTCCCGCCCTTAATTTTTTTTTAAACCAATGAATAATGTCCAACTTCCAATTTTTTTAAGAACGCCAAGAATGGCTTGTTACGTAGCAGTGTTAGTTAATGATGTCCAATGTTCACAAAAAAAAAAAAACAAACAAACAAACATATTTAAACGAACAAAATATGATAAAGATTAATGTTAATTAAACATGAAAAACTTTCTCTAATACATGTGAGTTCCACATTAACTATATTAAAGCTGTAGTTATATGCTTGTCTTGGACGTACCAAAATATATTTCTAAAAAATGTTGGACATCTGAGCAGATTGCAAGGGCTGTGGCCAGACTGGAAACGACACTGCCTCCTGACGTTTGGGTATCATTGGTTGATGAACGTGAGTCAAATCCTTACCCCATGAGCTAATTAGGGTTTGTGGTGGGTTAATAATACTGCCAACATGGATATTATTATTTTCAGCACACCCCTCAAATCCCATCAAATTTGCAGCAAGGTTGTCCGCTGCCTCAAAATATGACTGATTCTCACTGTAAATATTGGAGCTCTGTGCTAAAGAGTCCATCAATGGAGGATTATAATTATCAAGCTGATAATCATTATTAATATTGTTAATCTTCTCTCCCATCTCACCAGAATCCCCGTAATCAAAATCATCCCCCAAATTAATATAATTCACCCATGGATTATAAGCATAAGTATTATTGACATCGCCACGACCATCACTCCCAACTTCAGAAGAAAATCCGACATTATCAACACTAACAATACGGTTTTTGTCGTGATAATTATCTCCGGAAATTGGCAACTTTGGACCGGCTGGTTCAGAATTTACTGGGAAATTTGGAGTGGTGGCCATAACATTGTTGAAATCATAAGGCTGAATAGCTTGCCCGTCAAGTAATATTGATTGGACCATCTCATCCGCAATTTGTATACAACTCTCCATAACCCTAGTTATACTCCACCACGAATCCCTTTGCAACTCACCCAGCTGCCCTAAATGCTCATCATCCCACATTGCCAAACCCTTCTCGCCACCATCCTCAAAACCCTCAAAACCCTTCTCGCAGCGATCATCGAATCCCTCGAAATCCTTCTTTTTTCCTTTCATCTTACCCTTGTTTTTTCCTTCCACCTTATTTATCTTGCCTCCCAGCATATCCGAAATCCTGACCTCCGTTCCTCTACGCAATGGTGATAAGCTTGCTTTCGCATCAGCTTCTTTGAACTTCATCATGATGGCTCGAGCCTTGCGCTCGTCTTCCGGCCAGACCCCTAAATTACCATCGACATCATAAGAAACAATGCAAACCTTCGCATCGATATCCTCGAGCTCCTCAGCTTTCTTGTGCAGCGTCTGGTGCCTTTTGTGGCATAGCGAACTGATTTCGCACAGTTTTTTGCGCTTCCGGTTCTCCTCCCGTCGCACCATTGACTTCGCCGGAATTCAAACGAGGAGAAAGTGATCGAAAAACGAGGAAACCAGAGTACAGAAAGAATTTGAGGAGCTGAATGTTGAAGAGCTTGTTAAAAAAAAAACATGAATGGTTATGGTAAATTTATAGATTGATAGATAAGTAGGGTTCCTAGTGAATTTTTGAAAATCTCTCTAAATCTTCCTCATGCGAAAAGTAAAAAATTGATTTTTATTTCCTAATCTCATGTGGGTGTCATTTCACTGACTGAATCAATTTAAGCTTGTTCTAATGGTTCGCATGTTAATTCGGTTAAAGGAAAGAAGGGAATTAAATATTAATTTTTTGAACTCCATTGCTGCAGGGGATGAGTAATTAATTTTATTAATTAATCCAAAGCTGAAGAGGAAAATTTAGGGTTTTGTTGTGGATCGAATAAAATCGGGTTCGCAGCACCCGAGTGGCATTCGTTTCTCTCTCTTATTAATTGCCCGCTTCCCGCTTCCCGTTTTTATTTGTTTTGTTTTACTTGTAAAATTACTTATTACCCTAGAGAACAAAATTTAAGCTTTTGTTTAGCCAACACAATTAGGTGGAGCTTTGCACATTTTACAAACAATAATGCTCTTTTTTCAATAGTAAATGGTAATTGACATCTTAAAAGAGTACTTGTATTGGATGAGTTCACTATCATCGTGATATCTTGTTTAATAATATATTGACATTGTCAGACTTTTCAATACATGACATTTATCATTGGATGAGGACGCTATGTAATAATACACTAATTTTATGTAAATTGTTCTCTTTTTTGTTCTTACCAAACAGGTACATATCAGATTGGATTTATAGAATCTTACCAACATATCATTTGTCCAAGTTTTGTAATTTAGGGATCCAATCAAATTTGCGATCAGAATCAGATTGGGTTGGTTTGGACATTTAGTGGGTTCACCAACTAACTCAACCAACTGGGTTGGGTTGGGTTATAAACTTTAAAATTTACTTATGAGTAAAAATCTGATTGTCTGTCTAATATGTGAGTTAGGTTGGATTGAAGTATTATTAACTAATATTTGTAAAGAAGGTTATGAACTTGTTATTTGTAAAAACCTGACCACCTGTTTATAAGCTAATTTTTTAAAGAAGGTTATGAACTTATGTTTGGACCCAAATTTACACCATCAGCCCTTGTAATCAAGGCAATTGAGGGAGTATAATTCTCAACCGTCGGATGAAAAAGTGGAGATAATTTTTGTTATTGTTAAATGATAATATTATGGTCTTTATCATAATAATTATCTTTTAATATGAATTATCTTAGCATCTTTTTCAACCAGATAAATAGGATGCGAATTATATCCCAAGCAAGCAGTACAATTCGAATTGATTTGGGACGTCTGACGGCACTTGGAAGCTAGAAATGAATTTGAAATTCATTTAGATAGGGTCAGGATGCATGCGACAATAAAGATGATGGCTTTGGGTGATGATGAGACAAGCCTAGGTAGACTAGGCCTTTTTGCATAATGATGGATCTAGTCAGATGGGTTTAAAAGCCACTAATGGAGTTTTGATGATGAGATAAGAAGCCTAGGTGAGTTAGGCCTCCGATGTGATGTGATAAAGCTTATATAGGCTTTATTTTGTTTGAAAAGTCACGAAATCTGAAGGATATGCATTGGCATTTCACACAGATCAATTTTAGTTTCACAGAGTTAGAGTTGCAGTTAGACTCTACAACGCTATCAGGCTGTGCCCAAGATAAAGACAACCACTATAAATATAGAGTCGCATGCAACATTGAGACCCCCTTAAACTCAACACACAAACTGCCCTGCGCAAACTCTTGCTCTATGCGCAACATCTCAACAACCTTGAGATTTTTATTTTTCGCTGACACATCTTCAATTTGGATAAATAACACTAGGCCTGCGCAAACTCTCGCTCTACACGAAACCTCTCAACAACCTTGAGATTTTTATTTTTTGCTGACACATCTTCATTTTGGATAAATAGGATGCGAATTATATCCCAAGCAAGTAGTACAGTTCGAATTGATTTGGGATGTCTGACGGCACTTGGAAGCTAGAAATGAATTTGAAATTCATTTAGATAAGGTCAGGATGCATGCGACAATAAAGATAATGGCTTTGGGTGATGATGAGACAAGCCTAGGTAGACTAGGCCTTTTTGCATAATGATGGATCTAGTCAGATGGGTTTAAAAGCCACTGATGGAGTTTTGATGATGAGATAAGAAGCCTAGGTGAGCTAGGCCTCTGATCTGATGTGATAAAGCTTGGATAGGCTTTATTTTGTTTGAAAAGTCACGAAATCTGAAGGATATGCCTTGGCATTTCACATGGATCAATTTCAGTTTCATAGAGTTAGAGTTGTAGTTGGACTCTACAAAGCTATCAGGATGTGCCAAGCAAAAGACAACCACTATAAATACAGAGTCACATGCAACATTGAGATCCCCTCCAACTCAACACACAAATTGCTATGCGCAAACTCTCGCTCTACGCGAAACCTCTCAACAACCTTGAGATTTTTATTTTTCACTAACACATCTTTAGTTTGGATAAACAGTACTGTGAAGGCAATTAGCGAACATCTTCAGCTTGGATAAACAGTATTGTTGCCGTAGAATCAGCCGATCGTAAAACACCGTCATTTTGGATAAACAGCACTGCGTCGAGGCCGACTAATTATCTATCCAAATCTCGGTCGAGAAGGATTTTCGAATCCTTATTGGCAGAGGTCATCTCATTAGCCTTCTCGGCGAAGTGAGGTGTTACAGATTACTAGGCTCGACGCATCGAACGCTGAGTTGTTTTATGATTAGATACTCATAAGTAGGATTTAGAGTTTGGCATTTTGACGACCGAACTACGTTTACGATTAAGACCCACATTTGCTTTGAGTACTTATGCCCATATAGTTTGGTGTCGATTCGGCGTGCTTATACTTTTACAAATATAATCACTGTGACCGAATCCGGTGCCAACGATTTGTGAACTTTGCAGAACTAGCAGCCTTGTCTTTAGGCTCTAGAACCTGAAGGCCGAGAAGTGTTCCTTCTTATGTCGCAGTCACAAGATTAAGAAGTCAGCAGCGCGCCCGACGCCACGCACATATTCTACTCCTTGGCCGAGTTCGACTGACGAGTTGGCACGCCCCGCACACAACTGAAGGACGTAGTTAGCTTTTTAATTATTTGGCCTGCGCACCACGTAGGCTTGGTAGTTTTTTAGGGTCAACAACTTATTATTCACATTTACACATTAAATATGAAGAAAGTTGAGGCTCTACCATAAAACCAATTAGCAATATAGGTAGTAACTCAACTTACTATAAAATGTCATGTGTAATCAAGTTTCTAAAAAACGTTAAGCGCTAGTCGAGCGGTGGACTAGAGCCTAGCGCCTAGGCGGCTAGGCACTAGCCTAAACGGCCTAATACATAAATTTACACTACATATTATAAAACATGAGTATATGTGTATAATTTTAGGAATTTTTTTCTAATTTTATACAAATAATATTGGGCCTAGTTTGTTTTTTCTTTGAACAAAATAGTGGGCCACAAAATGAACCCAACTTGAAAGAAAAACTATTTTTTTCAATTAAACCGACAACTTTTTTAGTTTCTAGGCTTGCATTTAGTGGCTCTAGGCTTGCATTTATTATCAACAGATCTCCTATTCTTTCTCTCTCCGCAGAGAGATCTCCTTCTCTCTCTTTAGTCTTTTTTTTTGTCAGACTCTCTCTTTAGTATTTGCCTTTCTTTTCCTCCCATTTTCAGTTTTTCTTTCGACTCTCTCTCTCTTTTCTCTTCAACAGAACAGACGGAAGAGACAGAACGGACGGATATCTTCAATAGATTCCCTTCTCTCTCTGCAATAAAACCCAACAGACGGATTATGTGTATTGTTTTGAAGATTTGGGTTGTGGGTTGTGGATCGTGCATATGCGAGGGGAGATTTGCAGAGCATCGGTTGCAGCCTAGCACCGCCTAGGCCGCCTTGAGCGCCTAGAGACGCCTAGGCGGCCGCCTAAATCCTTCCCACCTTACCTAAACGATTTAGCCCAAATCAGATCGGAACTCCACCGCCAAACGCCTAGACCGATTTTTAGAACACTGCATGTGATAGTGTCATAACAACTAATTAACAATAGAAGGAGCATAACATTCTTTTACTATATTACATCTAAAAGTACATTTCATTTGTTAATTTGATGTTGGTATAAGAAATTTAAACATGAACATTCTAGCATTCTTCTTTGTCACGGTTATCCACTCATTCTGCCCCCGAGAGGTTTAACTCCATCTCTCTCAGTCGATTTAAACTAGCTATCATACTGTATTTTTTTTCCCTAATAAGTACGATAGTAATTAATATAGAAAAACAAAAAAAAATTGGTGTATTTATTTGAGTCTAGATAAAACTTTGCCCCAGATTTCAATCCGGACAAATAAAAAAAGAGTTTCTTGCAAACTATAGATATATATGACTAATTGACTATCCTTTAATAACAAATCACCAATAAATTCGGGTGGTTCCTAACCAACCTGAACGAAGGAAAAAATAGTTTCCGTACAAAATTACAGATTAGGGTAATGCTAGTGATACTAAATTTGCAAACTAAATGATGTGTCATCAATTGGAATAAGTACGTTTATCAACGTTTAAGTAATAAATCAATTATCAACTCCTATATCCTTTAGATTCCAAGGAGAAATGTTTAGTTGTGACGGGAACACAAGTAGTACACCACATGTTTTAATAGGAGTCGTGTGAAATTTTATTTTTTAAGTTATTAACTTTTTAGCACACATATCTCACAATTTGTATAGTGACTCGTGGTGTACCACCCCGTGTACCGGTTACACTGCAAAATCTCTCGTTTCCAAGACTTTGTCTACAAATTTAGTCTCCCTACCATACATTATGACTGTCCTCTAATAATTACTAATCAACAATCAAATCGGGTGGTTCCTCAAATCCACCGTCAATCCATGCCGGGCAAGTCTATGAGCAACCTCGTTAAGCTCGCGTTTTACATGTTGGAGCTTCACCGTCGAAACTGAATTGAGATTGAACCTGGTATCATTGAGAAATGGACCAAACCAACCTGAGAAAAGTCTTCTCCCTCTTGAGCTTTTGTGGCTAAAGCTCCTGGGCTAAAAAGCCTCAACTTTGAAGCACAAGCCGCCCAAGAAAGTCCCCCTTCATCTCGAAACAACTCGCTGCATAAATCCTTAGTATTTTGGAAGTGGAATTATAGAATTTGAAAACAAAGTACAAAAAAAAAAAAAAAAAAAAACGGATTAAGGAAAAACAATGTATTTTTCCAATAATTCATCAACATCTTCGCGGCTTTCGACTCGAACGGGACTCTCGTTGCTGTTGGAATTATCAAACACTTCCGTCAAGTAATCAGCAATAACGTTGTCCATCAATACCTCAAGGCTTGACAACGATGAGTCCGCAGCAGCAGCAACCCCGTCACAACTAAGGTCGCTAAAGATGTCCTCCGCCATGAAATCGACGTTGTTGCACAGAAAATTATCGATACCGTCGTCAGCAGCGGCATCGACAATTGGATCGATCACTTCAGAAGTAGGTTCTTCTTCTTCCAAACCTTCAGGCAATTCCGGCATGAATTCTTCGATATCAAACAATATTATTTCAAAACCCTCGTCGTCATTCTCAAAATCCTTTGAGTCCTTCGTCTTCTTGAACGATGTTCGTTGATACAGCGTCATCGAAGTTTTGGGTCGACTCTCTTTCTGCTCCTCGCGCTCTCTGCTCGGAGATGACTTCACCATTGCGTCGAATACTTCTTCTTCTACAACGCACACGACAAGCAACACGCAAAGACACGTGAGTGTCAAAAAACAGAAAGACTTGGCAAGTTTTGCCAAAAGCATACAGAACAGGTAGCTCCTTTTTTTTTATCGTTTGGGAATATATGTATCGGTGTTTCCTAGTGCTAATGGGATATGGTTTCAGAGAAGGAAAGGGATTCGAATTTACGGGCAGTCGTTTTACTGAAAGTTAATATTTAAGTGGCTGAATTCCACTATTTCAACTCATATATAGGGTTTTACTTGTAATTTTCTTTTGATATTTTGGCTAATATTGTCTTTAAGATTTGCATAACTCATCATTTTGGTTCTTGAAATTTGAAATCAATAGAAGTGGTCTCTGAATTTGTCCATCACCTTTCATGAAAAATTATATTAAATAAGGACCAAATCCAAATAGTTGGTTGCCATTACATTTTTTTGGTTGACAACTGGGCATAAGCTCGAAATAAAAGAAATAATTACATAAGAATATTTTGAGATTATGAGACTCCAGATATATCTGCAACTAACAACCGATGACAAAGAGAAGCTTGTTCAAAAGAGACTGGACTCAAATTGCATGACAAACTCAAACACATTGACATTACATTTTCAATTTATAGTAAGTAATTTTCATCCAATTTTTACTTGAAATTTATCTTCACTATTTTTCTCTCCTACACAATTTAGTTATTTTTAACATTCGGATTAAATAAACAAAAAAAAAATTGTAAATAAATAATAGTGTGTAGGATGAGAAAAAACAATGTTAAAATCACTTCTCTTTTCCTTTCCTACTCATGTGGCATCCTAACATGTCATTTGTTGAGAAATTGACAATGTCAAATAATAACACTCTCCTATTGTAATAATTAGTACACAATTGTATCCGATCAAAAAAAAAAAAGGTACACAATTGTAAAGTTTCTAGAAACGAAAATGCGTTGGTCTTGACTAATTTGGAAAAGATTAGGAGTACTGCAACACACGTCCTTTTATTTTTAAAACCTATCAACGGTTGAATTTCATTTTATTACAACTCGTTTAAAAGTGTTTTTAAAATGATTAAAAGTATTTTTTGGTAAAAATATTTTTAGAACATATCTTTAGTAAAAATGTAAGAAAATCTATAAAAAATGCTTATTTTATTGAAACCCTACATATTGTTGAATACACCTCATATACTTAATACACTCCACATTTGCTTTTTTAATTAAAACTTATCTTAATAAACCCCATTTACTTTCCTATAATACCCTCACACCCCCACACTCTCACCATATACCTTACATTTTCTACGTACCCCCCACACTCTTCAAATCTTAGGTGCAAATACATAAAGTCATCCAAAAATACCTTTGGTGTAAAGCTGAAGTTAGTGTGATTTTGAATTTTTTTTAATTTTCCTATTGGAGTGGTGCCAACAATTGTTTGATTATTTGCATGTGTTTATTATCCCTTCATGTTTCTCTATCCCTTCCATGGAAAGAGGTGGAAGGTTGTGAGTATTCCGTACCAGTAGATGAGGAAGATGATTTTCGCAATAGTAGATGAGGAAGTTGAAAATCCAAAAAAAAAATATGGCAACTATAGAAGTGTAGAGCTTTATATAGAGTTGGAGCAGTGGCACTGAGTAATGGGGATTAAATAAATATTAGGGTTGATGATGATGAATCCTCTTCTTTTCCTTTGATCGGATCATGTGAATGGATTTAGTAATTGAATCATTGAATTAGAGGAAGAGATTAGGTTGTTATGCTGCTTTTAAAATCAAGGGATCTTTGTGATCTAATGTGGCTAAGGTTTATTAGGTGTGTGATTCTCATCATCAATCATATTTGTTTTTAATAGATATTATTCATAACGCAACTATATGCATGCCAATATAGTTGAAATCACTAAAACGATGAAAATACGAAGTCTTACCTCATGTAAAGTTTCCAAAATGTTGATTTCACGTTTCATTCGTCAAGAATAATTTTTTCAATTAACGTGTTTGTAGTATAATTAATTCTACAATGGAGGATGATAGTGGTTTTACGAGTTGAAGAAGATAAATAAACTTGGGATATACATGTGAAAAGTAATTTGGATTTTTATTTTTATTTTTTAAACTTTATAAGGTCCAAATTGTCATTACATATTAGGTATGTAAGTCATTTAATATTAAATTTTAATGAGGGGTATAGTCAACATATTGTGAGGTGCTAATAAAAAAAGGGGTGTGATATCCACACAACCAATTTTACTTCTTACACACCCTTTTAATTTTCGGCCGTCAGATCGAATGATTGAAGAAGATCAACGAACAGAAATTAACAAAGATGTGTGAGAAGTAATTTGGGGTGTGTGGATAGCACACCCCTAAAAAAATCCTAAAAAAATAAATAATTGAAGTGCTTCCTACGAGGGTGCTTCTCACACCCACTAGTTAAAAACGAATAAATGAATAAATGGATTGATTAAACACATTGCTAATGTACATTGTACACTATGGATTACAAATTTGATAATGTGCTATGATGACAAAAACATAAACCACAATCAGTTGGTTGGACTGAATTTGCTGTCCCCTTTCTTGTGACCTTTAATTGGTGGTATGTTTATTTGGGCGCCCCAAATCACCGGCGCCGGGAAGAAGATGTGTGCTCGTGGGCCCTAATATCGTTCTGTATTCGGTCGGCGTACATGGGTAGCCGGACAATCTCCTCAATCTTCTCTAACAACACTTCCTCCGTAATATTATCGTTTATGCTTCGCATTACCTGTTTGGGATGACAACAGTGTTTCATTAGTCCTAAACACAACCTGAAATCAGAAACAACAATAACAACAACAACAACGACAACAACAACAGTGTCCTAGAACGCCATTGCGCTCGGTTCTGGGTCACGTCTTCTGTAAAACCTGAAATCATAAAGACAAAAAAAAGAAAACAGTACTGCATGATAGAAGTACCTTCTTATAGGTATTGAACTCATTTGGGGTTGATTTGTCCGGCCTAGTCCGCATACACACCCACGCATTTCCACCGGCATCCCACGCGCACTCTATAATCTTCCCCGAACAAAAAGCAGGATCCAATTCATCTGCAAGTTGAATTTGGAACACCAAGGTCTTAGATTCCAAGCTAAGTTGAAGTTTTCGAATCAAACTAACGTAATTAGATACCTACTGCAGTATAAATTAATGCACTTTTACGCTCATAAATTCTGGAATTATGGTTTTACACTAGAATGCAGAAATCCTGCAGTTTCAGTACAGGTACCAGACATTTGGGGCTGGAACTAAAACGTCGTCCATTAATAATTATAAAAAATAGAAAAAAATCAAAAGTCGACCTTTAAAAACAACCCTATAGCCTCCCATAAGCTTCTTCTTTCCGCGCTCGTTGAGAAAAAGTAGCTCACGGCCATCGACTCCTAACTGTCAACACAAAACTCATTTAGCTTATCACCTATAAGTTCATAAAGAAGGAAGTGGAAGAGAAAACTGTAACTTGCAACCGTGAAACGAATGTGCAGTTCAAAAGAAAGGGTCATTATATAACCTCAAAGAGAAAATCAACTGAATTCATTTCAGGAAACTTCCACTTCAAAAGACCTTCATGCGTGCGGGGAACATATGGATCGTCCCAGCCCTGAAAAAGATGAATCGTCAACAAATTTTGCTCTAGAATCTGGTGATATCTCATCATAGGAGAATCAAGTTTTGTATTGAAAAGCAATTGAAGGAAAGCAGAACGGATAAACTACTTCACGGGAGTACAAATCAATTAAGCTAGTTCCAAACAGCAACCAAAAGGTTAATGTAAGAAAACAAAACAGGCAATTCAGTATCAAACACAATTTGAACCTTGGTCATACAGCCTACCCCACTTAGTGGGATAAGGCTTGGTGGTGGTTGCTAAATTTACCAAATTACTCGTTTCAATTGTTCATCATCCGCATATAATCACATAACCCCTCAATCACCTGGAATATCAGACCATCTGAGGCATGTGAAAGTCCAGGAATGAATTTCCTCAAAAGCTTGTTGACCGTAGATAGTAACCAAAAACCCTTCCTCCGTACCTGATGAACATCTATAACAAAGTTAATCACCAATCTTAACAGAATATTCACAATAAAAAAACATTGTGTAATCTCTAACTGTCAGGATACATACACTGAACAGTTCCAAGTCATATCTGTAGTAAGGCTCCACACTCCTGGAAAGAGTATCCCGTTCCATATTTCGAGGCTCGATCACTTCTTTCTCAAGCATCTTCCATCGTTCATGGAATGGCAGCTGGACCATTTGTGGTTACCAGTTTATCAATAAATTGAAGTATCCTTATAATGAGTTCATAAAAGGGAATTCTTAACAGAAGAACATTTAGAGACAGTACAACGCAGGAGATTTCCAAAAATGCGGGGACTAGAAAATACACAATCCAAACGAAAAACAGTGGGAGGGGGCCTTTTCAAGACAGATTCCCAGAGCATTATCATATATCTAACCTCTACGAGAGAGACTTGGTTGATTGCAATGACGTCATAAATGAGGTATCTTCGGTCTTGCTTTTGAGTATTTGGGTCAGTGTCAATTATCATCTCTCCATCAAGTAATGTGAAGTTGTGAGTCTTCTCAGGCATAACCTTAAGAAGAAGAATTACATAGGAGGGAGTCACTTAAGGATAACTTCACATCAAACTACACGCATTCCATGTATCAAAACTGCAAGTACATACGCACCTTATTTGAGAATTTGCAAGGGAACCGCATCTGGACCCGTCGGAAAAAAAATTTCCTATCAATCAAGTAACAGCCATCCCATGTAATTAGCATCATATAACGTGTTCCATCAGCTTTCCATGTGGCATAGTAATAGCGCTGCCGCAACAGTTGTTGGTTGTCCCTACAGAGTACAAAACGATATTAAAACTTTGGAAATGGAGGGAAGATCATGTAAAGTACTGAATTTAATGTTGTATGGACCATAAAACGAGTATCTTTAAAATTATAGTATGCCTTTAAAAACATGCAAGGCAATTAGTCTCCAGCCTGAAGCAACTAAAAAGCAAGATCTGGAATTACCTATATCATGCGGATATTATTTGCTACAAAACCAAACATTTCTAGACATTTTTTATCTATAGATTGCAACAGGCTAAGTGCTGAAAAACTAGTAAGACTGAATTTATAAGCAAAAAGAAAATTGGGCTAAGAAATCAGCTGTCCATTCTTAAAAACATATTTTCGATGATAAGTTCATTCGCCTAAAATTGGTTACTGAACTTCCAAATTACAAACTAAAAATATCCATGTTTATACATTTTCGATGATAACTTCATTCATCTACTTAAATTACTTACTGAACAGAAAAAGGCACCTTCAGTTTATAATGCTGAAAACAAAAGATTCAAAACCACTAGAAGTAACAAAACTATACGGCTATTTTTAAAACAAACCTGTTGAGCGAAACAGGATGGGACCCAGGAAATTGTAAATTCCCTTTACCCTGAAGACATAGCCAGAAATAAGTTTATCAGCAAATAACAACAGCAACACCATGGAGAAGGAAGCATTTAAATGTTCAGATTCCATCTTAATATACAAATCATAACACAAGGCACTAGACTTGAGTGCCTACCCTTCTATCCATATTAAGTGCATCATAAACGGCTTCTCGCATTGATTTTTGCTGGTTAAAAGGTATTCGCTCACCCAAAACATCATCAATCGTCATTGCTTCATTTCTCGCATGATTGGCCTAATACATTCAAAACAAGAAAAATTAAACAAAAGGAATTATCCATTTCAGTCACAATCAGCAAAAGCGGAAGGTGCAATTTGTTTTCCAGGCAAAGAACTTAGAAGTGTTTAACTGCAACAAATTGTTTAAGGGGAACTATTATTGGCAATCCAAAAATCTCATTGTGCACTCGTCCTAAGTGTATTTTTCTTTCTAAATATAGAAAGTTTGCAGTGCACCATGAGATTTTTGGAGTGCCAATTTTTTGTTAAAAACCACTCAAATGAACGACAAACAACTGAAAAGACAGCAATAACACACGTAATGCTTCCAGTTCCAAACAATTAAGTGTGAGTGTTAAACCATAAAAAATCTATTCGGCTTCCATTCGAATTACATCATTTGTCATGCAACACTACAATTCTCTAAACTAAAGACATTTGCATTAACATGTAAACGGAATCTCAATTCGGGCAGACACATACACAACTACCAGTCTACCAGTGTATTATAATGGCCTGTACTGCAGTTTGAATTTCATCATCAAAAAATATCACAAGCACAATTTCTAACAAATAATTTGCATATAAGCATTTACTGAAAAGTGGTATGATAGCCAGGACATCAATCTTCCAGTTTGGTACTTAAACAAGAGAAAACTTCCTCTGCTAAAATCAAAATAGGATGAACAAGCAAAAATATTTAACAATACATACATTTTCCTGATACATCACAGCTTCAGCTGTGTCATCCAGATCGGAAACTCTCTTCCACTCTGGAGTTTGAGGGCAAACAACTGATTCCGGCTTTCTTTCTTGATAAAACTTGTAAAGTTCATCAATATAATCCTGTTTGTATATCCCTGGAGGACGTGCCCTGGCAAATATATTTATTGCCTGCACAATTGTCAGTCCAGATTGAATATTGTTTAAATCATAACATAGATTCAATCGGAACAAAAGTAACTACCACACAACCAAGTACTTACCTCGGTAACTGAAATTGATTCGTTGCGTACAAGAAAATGAACAATCATGAAGCCTGTGCGGTTATGCCCATGTGTACAGTGGACAAGTATATACCTCATTGGGTCTGTTCTACGGGAGAAAAATTGTGATACCTAACCAAAGAAAAAAAATCACAAAATCAGACATATTCCTTCTCGAATTTCAATAGGGGGTGAATTTCAATAGGGGGTCCCCTGAATTCACAGAGGCAGCTCACCTCATAGAGAAATTTATCTACAGCTGCATTATCAGGAACCGAATCCCTTCCTCTGCATTGTATCTGGCGCAAAGACAAATTTGAGGACATAAGTAAGTAATCATACCTGACTAACTAGGATCAGAAACACAAATTACACTTGCCTTAACATGCCGAATGCCTTCTTTTGTCCAATCCGAAAGGGGATAGTAACGAGTAGTGTTCGTTAAATCAATCACTAAACCGAGCTTGAAACATAAAAATCAATCAGCATAACAACATCATACAGGATAAAGTACAGTACTTTACAGAAACAAAAAAAGGAATGTAATTACTTCTCTTCCTAGCAGTCTTTGCTGATGAATGACTTGCTTTGGAGTGTACGTAGCACCAGCAATATGGTCATTGAAAGACTCACCAAGAGGTGCTTTTGATGGAATTATACAACTTATCTCTCCACCATATGCAGGGCAACCAACCCAACCTACAACGGGAGCGAAAACCCGAAAACCCAATTAACCACTAATACAATACCCATGATTAGCAATCACGCTAATTCAATCAGCGTTAGCATTGCCTACCTTCAGGAAGCATGTGTCTATCAAAAGCTTGATGATGATTTCTGTTCTGAAACCCAGAATCCCTGTTCTGAAACCCAGAATCCCGGTATGGGTTTTTTCTCTTGAATCCCAATCTTCTTTCTTCTCCATCCTAATTAAAAATTAAGCACAACCCAACAGATGGATCAACTAAGAAATCGAAACGATGTGATTAACAAAATTAAATCCCAATTTTTGTGTTTTGTATTCAAAATTTTTTTTCCATTTTTTGGGATTGGGATTTTGAAGATAAAGCATAATTAAACAGTGATGTGGATCTGTGGGTGTTACCATTTGACTAGGGTTTCTTCAATCTGCTGAATCGATGGGACTCAGACAGTAATTAGGGTTTTGGGTTTGGATGGATCAGACTGACTTGAGAGAGACGTTGAGAGAGAGAGGTTGAGAGAGAGAGAGAGAGAGAGGTAGAGAGGCAACCAACTAATCGGTGTCAAAGAAAACGCTCCGTTTATAAAGCTTAGGGGAGCCGCCACCACTATCTCCTCCCTTTGCTCTAATTTGTGTCCATACCTTTGGTTTCTGTGTTCACACTTTTTGGTTTCCTTTTGCTCAACCAAAAGTAAAATATTAAACAAACTCTACTAATAAAATTGGAAACCGGATCATTTTTCTGAAAATCCGGAGAATTCATAAATCATATCAATTCATCGTTGTCGTGCTTATTTAAAATTTAAAATTAAATATAAATAGTACTTAACGAAAATTGGCGGTACGATGTATGATAAACGGACATGATTTTTGAATCCTACGAATCCCTAGGAAAAGGATCCGACAATGATCATTTTCCAATAAAATTGATAGACGGTCTCACGAATCACCTATGACGTGAGTAATATATCATTTTTACTTAAGTGCGGTTTTCATTACAAACGATCCCCGCAATTGAGTTAACTCATCATTTGTTATCTCGGTTTGAAAGTTTGTCAATGTTGTTCTTTAGATTTGATGTCGCATATCAATTTAGTTCTTATGAAGTTCCTGGAATTTAATACTGTATATCCATTTTATAAAACATTGATTATTGTAGTTAAGTTACTTATTAGCCTAAGTTCAAATCAAAATTTTCTTCTAACAGTTTAGATGATGATTGTATTAATAACATATATTAACATGATTTATATCTAACCGTCAAATGGTGTTTTTATTAAGTACATATAAGTATTGTAGTCAAACTTGAATTATTTTTTCTAAAGGGCAAAAAATATAAAATTTTTGAGTCATTCATGTTTTGGGCTTGAATTTCATGAATTAGCTTAAACATTAATGGACCCACATAGGCCCATCTTGCGGCCCGCTCTGTCATCAGACGGCATCATATAAAACGCCACCGTATCAGGTCCCCCCTCTCTCTCCCGCTTCGTTTGTTTGGTTGAAGAAGCTTCGAAGCCCTAGCTGTCGTCACTGTTATCGCCACAATGAAGCTCGTCAGGTTCGTCTTCCTCTTCAAACCCTAATTCCTCTTCTTCCTCAGTTAACAGCGCCGTTGATTTTGCAGTGATTGCCTTTTTTTGATGTTTTTTGGGAAATTTTGCAGGTTTTTGATGAAGTTGAACAACGAGACAGTGTCGATCGAGCTCAAAAACGGCACCGTTGTGAACGGAACCATCACAGGTATACTTCTCCCTTCTTCGCTTTACTTTCTTTCCTTCTAATTTGTTGAATTAGGTGCGGTTTTTGGATACTTAGGGCTTTACTAAACCCTAGGGTTTTGATTTGGCTTGGGTTTGGAATTTCGTGTTTATAGAAGAAGTGGGTCTTGTTTACGTTTAATTTCGGTTTCGTATCACCTTGTACTGAGTACAAAAACTTCGATATTTATAGTGAAACATGGAATGCACAATTTGTCGTTTTAACTCTGTGGAGCATCTCCAATGAACTGAGATTGTTTGTTTGCTACCTCTGGATGTTTTTAGAATTAAGGTTTTGCTCACCCGGTGCTATCATTTCGTGTAAATCGACTGTGGGGAAGAACCGCTCAAACATTGAGGCGGTACGGGTTTGGAGTATACTAGGGTTGCAATTAAGTCTAATTTTGTTGAGTTGTTAATGTCTTATTCAGTAAGTATGATATGTACGTTGTATATTAAATGTGTTGAATGCTCAGTAATTTTAGTTTTTCTACTTACGTAGATTATTCGGTGAACGGGATATGTCCAACTATCTAGAGTTCGAGAATCTTAAATGATATTCTTACTTGGCATTGGGTACATTTACATCTAAAGAGGTCAGGATTGTTTTAAGACCATTGTTTTCTATAAAATAGTTGTAGCACACAATTTTGAAAGGTTTCCACAATAGATTATTATAGTATGTATGTGTATTTTCCCGGCATCTATATCGTTGTGATTTCTGATAGAGAATTCCTGGGGTGTTCTTATCCTTTATGCTGAGAACAAACATATGTCAAAATCGGTTGTGTATTTCAAGATGCTTCTATTTTCTTTGGAAGTTGGTGGCTCAAAGATGCTTGCAAGTGTGCTCAGCATTGGGCTCCTGAGAGTTGGGATGTAGTTTTGCTTTATCTCTAAACTGATTCCATTTTCAGCCCGTAATCTGCACGAGCGCTCATGATTACTTCCATGTATTGCATGATAATCAATATATTAGCTAAGCAGAAGCTTCAGAGTATCTGCAGAACACTCGATTTTAAAATTTGGAAGAGCAAGGATATGCATTCAAGTTAGCGATCACGTAAAAGACATTGAAAGCTTATGATGCCCTTTCGTATTTTAGACAATGTTTGTAATGAAAAATACAACCATTGCTGTACATAATACAAATATGTCTGCGAAACAGCTCTAGTTGTATTACAAGTCTCCAAAGGAGATCCTTGTGTATTGCATAATAGCATCCAGTAAAGGTTGAAAAAGCTTCAGCTTTTTTTGAATGGACTGCCTTGTAGAGATAAATTAAGAGATTTAACTTAAAACTTTTTAGATAGATTATCATCTTAATCTGGGTGCACACTTCCTTCCACGTGCGTTGTTTTAAACTACTGAACAGGAAGGGAAAAGTAGCTGTTCTGATTGGTAACTTTGCTTGTCGTTACAGGTGTGGATATCAGTATGAATACTCATCTGAAGACGGTGAAACTTACACTCAAGGGGAAGAACCCAGTGACTCTGGATCATCTCAGCGTGAGGGGTAACAACATTCGATACTACATCCTTCCTGACAGCCTGAATCTCGAGACTTTGCTTGTTGAAGAGACACCTAGGGTCAAGCCCAAGAAGCCAACTGCAGGTACCGCAAACTTGTGTTTATCATATAAACTCTCTGAACGTATTCATTCCTCTGCTATCTCGCAGTCCTCGCCATTAATCATCTAAATGTGTTTCCTCTGTTTATTTTCAATGACAGGGAGGCCTATGGGACGGGGGCGTGGCCGTGGACGTGGTCGCGGACGTGGCCGTGGCCGTTAATTTTTGTGACACCTGGTTACGTAAACTCCTCTATAGGAAGGAACTTGTCATTGTGATCTTGGAGACGTTGAATGAGTTGCGGTACTGTACTTTAATTTGTTGTCTATGCCCAGTGAATTCGTAAAGTTCTGTTAAGAAGTTAATCAAATATGCTTTTGACATCTCATATCTCCGGTGCACGACGAAATGTTTTACACTACTTGAATTACAGGTTTTTAAACAAAACTACGGTAAATTGAGTAGGCATATCCCAATAACCCCTTTATTTTTTTTTATAAACAAACGATATCATCTACTTTAAAAGGTGGGGAAATAGGGAAAGTCTCGTACTGGGCTAGTCATAATAATGTGGTTCAAATTCGTCTTGGGCGAAAATCGTACCTAAAACCTCTTATTTACAAGTGAAGTGAAATATCACTAGAGTGGTTCTTGTGCACTATTGTACTACTAAGTGTAATTGGTCTAACACATAGGGTATGGTTAGAAGTGTATTTAAAACAACTAAAAATGTTTGTAGATTATTCAAAGCGATTTGGTCATGCTCGGTAGAAAAAAATAAAATTGTTTGTAGGTTAAAAAAACACTTGAAATACTTTATAAGAATATCACATTTTTTGGGCTTCTTTGAGTAAGCACTCTAGGGTGGACCTTTTTTTTTTTTTTCTTCTTTCGAGCGTAAAAATTTCAATATGCTTCTAGTATTACGCTTTAGTGCGACTGATTTTAAACAAAAGTATTTTTAAAAGAAGCAATCCAAATGAGATGAAAGTGTTTTACAAGAAGTCAATAGTCGATGTCGTATTGAAAGCATGTGCAAACTGGACTAACTCCAAAGTTGGTCACCATTTGGATAGATTTTTCAGTATAATCGTCATACGAAACGGTACACTACATGTCATTACATAAATAGTGAGATATGCATGTCAAAAAATTAATAACTTAAAAAATAAAAAATTTCACTACTTATATAAAAACACGTGATGTATCACCCGTATTTCCGTCACAATTAAAAATTTCTCTACCATTTGGTCATACTCAGTTAAAAGCACTTTTAGAAATTAGACTGCACGTCCAAACATACCCTTAGTAAACAAGAAGAGTTAACTCGACATCGTATCCTCATGCCGGTTTTTTGATCCACTTGTTACCAAACAGGGGGCCAAAACCCGAAATCCCAAACAGACCGTACAAATATTTTCAAATTCGCCTAACTTTTTCAACCGGAAGAAAAAGAAAGCAGCGATGGGGAAAGCGTCGGGAGCGAAGCAAGCGGCGGTGGTGTTCGGAGCCCTAGCCGTCGGCTGGCTGGCCATAGAGCTTGCCTTCAAGCCCTTCCTCGACAAGGCCCGCGCCGCCATGAACAAGTCCGACCCGGCCCGCGCCGCCATGAACAAGTCCGACCCGGCCCGCGATCCCGACGAAGACGACGCCGTCAAACCCGCTTATACCGCCGCCGACGAAGCCTCTGGAACTCTGTAAGGTAGCAGACTCCGAACACTACTACTACTAGTACAATCTACACCGAATCGATAGGCAATAACACTGTAGATTTTGGAATCTTACGATCATGAATTTCTAATAGCTTTATATTAATTAATTACTGTTTGAATTTGAAAATGTTGGAATTGAGGAAATTACTGGCTGGCCGGTCAACTTTTGATCTCTCTCTCTCGATTTATTTTCTGAATTATGTTTGATCACTTTTACTTAATGCTTGTGAAATTAGGTTTTAGATTTTAGGGTTTAAGATTTGATTGCTGCAGTTGCAGTTTTGCAAAGAAGGAAGAGTAGAGGGCGACTTTTCGTGGAAGAGAAAGTAGATTGTTCTAGAAATCCTGGGTTTTTGGGCTCAGCTCATTTGACTTCAGTATATGACACTATCCGTAAAGCCCATAAGAACCTATGTTTTGTGGGTTGGGTTGGGTTGAGGAACAAAAAATAATGGCTTTTTATGTAGTTGTTATTATTATAGAAGATCGGTTTGGAAGTGCTTTTATAATGACTGAAAGCGTTTTTGGTGAAATTGGTTTTGGGTTTCAAAGCACTTTTAAGTGTTTTTTAGAAGAAGCATCAGAAATATGCTTTTTACGGGAAGCACTTAAAGTGCTTTTTCAGGATTCACTTAAATTTTTACCGCTAATTGATTTCAAAGTATTTCCATAAAAAACGCTTTCAGTCATTTTAAAAGCACTGCGAAATGCACACAAGTTGGGAATGGGACTCGAACATAGGAAATTTGCATACATCTCTTAGTCACTTGAGCTCTAAGTTTGTCGACCAAAATAATGATTTTGATCGATGAACTTATCACAAGTGGTAAATTAATTGGAAAAATTGGCTTTGGCCAAAACTTATGATCTTCTTCTTTATTGTCCACTCAACTTCCGAGCGCTCTAATTTTTTAAAACGTGTCAAATTTTTTTCCCTTCCCTCCTCGCCCCAATTGTCAAATTGGTTGCATTTTGAGTCGATTTCTATTAGTAACGCTATCCGGAAGGGACGAGAATAGCCCTTGTTTTTATAAGGATGTTTAATTGAAATGAGAATGATTTTTTTTTTTTTTTACAAGAAGCGATGGTAGTTTTCATTAACACACACGAACATAATTACAAGGATCGTTGTATGAGTATATTCTCTAGTGACCAATAATACACTGATCAATAAATAGTTCGAATAAATAAGCATAAACAGTAAACTCCTAACGGCTCCTACAAGCACCTTCGTACCAATTTGCCACAAAGACAGCAAACGCAGCAGACCTAGACTGAGGTGCACATAATGTTATAGCCGGCAAAAACAAAAAAACAAAAAAAACCATTGCTAACAACGATATCCCATCACTCGCTAGGCAAGACATTACTCACTAGATGCGGTTACGAAATATACACTAATGTGAGAACAAAATACAACGTTCTCGACCAGGTTCTCTTTACCTGAGACGATATTGCATCGGTAAGATCCACCGCTCTTGCAAGCCAAGCAAAGTGAAGGTGCCATGAATCTAGCCAAGTAAGGGCGCGACGTCGCAAATTAGTGAAGAAGAACAAAACCATTTGAATCAGGTGTGGGAGATAGAACTCACCCACCAACAACTAATAAACCAACCACAAATCATGGGAAAACCCTTGAGAGAGAGGGGGTATATTTTGAATTTGGGGTGGAGGTTTTATGGAAGCCATGAAAACTTGGTTGGTGGAGGAGAAGAGGTGTTGGGCCGTAATGATGAAGGGACAGAAAAGGAAAAATAAAAGGGAATGTCGACTATGTTTGTGAATTCGAATTAGACAAGGATTCTAACAGTGATTATGAAAGAGAAACTCAGAAAACTTGAGCAAGAAGAAGAGAATTTCGATCTGAAAAACTAGAGAATATCCCTCTACAAAATGCTTCCATATATTTCGGGCACACTCACTGAGCATGTGAGCTTATACACCAACAATATAACTGTTGGAGGTGAGAGAGAGATAGACACATCTCTAAATTCAATCTCAGCCATCCGTTTCATTTTCCATTGAGATTAAGACACTTGTCTCAAGCCTTATGAGACTTAACTAACACATTACTTTTTGAACACACAAGCTCAGCCTATGAGCTGAAGCACAACACTAATAAAAAACTTATAATCTTCTTTAATCTGTTCATCAATTTACACACTAACACTCCCCCTAAATTGTGAATTGATCTCACTCTTAATTTCTCTCTAAGATGACAGAATTGATCCTTAGCAAGAACCTTTATAAATATGTCTTCTATCTGATCTTTGGTTGGACAATACACCAAGTCAATGATCCCATTTTGCAAAGCCTCCTTGATAAAGTGATACCTTCTATTGATGTGCTTAGTCTTATGATGAAAAATAGGATTCTTTGTGATTGTAATAGCATAGGTGCTATCACAATTCAATGGAGTTTCAACAGTCCTTGTTTCACTAAAATCTTCCAACACAAACCTTAACCAAGTTGCTTGTGCAGTGGCTTCTGCTGCACTAATGTACTCTGCTTCAGCCGTGGATAATGCAACACAATGTTGCTTGACTGAGGACCAAGAGAATATTCCACTTCCAAAGGTGAATGCATACCCTGAAGTGCTTCTTATATCATCTTCGGATCCACTCCAGTCACTATCACAGAATCCAAACAACATTGCTCCTTGACCTTTCTTGTACTCAAAGCCATATTCCAAAGTTATTTGTATGTACCTCAACACTCTTTTAGCAGTTCCATAGTGCTTATTAGTTGGACAGTGCATGAACCTTGCCAACAAGCAAGAAACATACATGATATCTAGTCTAGTTGCAGTGAGATACAACAAATTGCCAACTATTTTCCTGAATTGTGCTTCATTTGCAGGCTTCATCTTGTGCAGCATCATCAAAGCATTCAGGTTTAATGATGCACAAGTTGCAGTGCTGATACACTTCACTCAGGCTTCTCCATTTCAAGGGAGTTGAATCGAAGGCTTCTATATCAATAGGGACATTTGCACTTTGAGTACTTGAGCTCTCACCAGAAATAGGAGATGTTGACCTGAGGGACCCTCCATATTCATCTTCATCAGTTTCTCCAAGCTCAGGTGAGATTAGAGGAACACAAACCTCTTTCACTTTATTTTCTTCCCAGTTCCACTTCTCATTCTCATCAAATACTACATCTTTAGACACTGTTACCTTTATTGTAATTGGATTAAGAATTATGTACCCTTTCTCACATGATCCATATCCAATGAAAATTCCTTTTGCACTTTATGCATCCAACTTGTGTCTCAACTCTCCATGTATTAGTGAATAACACTCAATACCAAATGCCTTAAAATGTTTAATCATATGTCTTCTTCCATTATAAGTTTCAAATGGTGTAACCTTGTCCAATGCCTTTGTAGGACATCTATTCAACAAGTAAACTAATGTGTTGACTCTCTCTCCATGGCTTGTAGGGTAGCCCATTCTCATGCAGCATACTCTTAGCCATCTCTATTATTGTCCTATTCTTTGTTTTTGCCACTCCATTTTGCTGTGGAGTGTAGGACATAGTGAGTTGTCTCTCCATGCCAATTGATTCACAGAATACATTGAACTCAGTAGAGGTGAACTATTCACCCCTATCACTTCTTAGTTTCTTCAGTGAATAACCACATTGTGGTTCAACCATAGCTCTAAACTTTTTGAATATCCCAAACATCTCTGACTTATTTCTCATAAAGTAGACCCAACACATTCTATGGTAGTCACCAATGAATGTAAGGAAATATCTGTTTCCACTCATGGTTGGAACTTGCATAGGCTCACAGACATCATAATGCACCAATTCCAATGGTTCTTATGCTCTCTGGTAGGCATAAAAGCACACCACAAAGTAGCACACAAATATCCTATTAATTTTCCTTATCAACACTAAAATTTGTCGATTGTAGCATATGAAAATAAGGGTCTTTCCCGCAAAAGATTGTTTTATCCAAATACTTAAAATGTCACAAAAACAGGGTGGCTGTCTCCACTGACCAGCCACCGAACAATAATTATGAGACTAACTTACACTTATCCAAATGCAACGAAATTTTATAGACATAAACTAGACACACCAAGCTATGCTCACACAAATTTTTGGGATTTTTGGAGTTGATTAGCTATTTAAATTAAATCGGACAAAACAGGACATCAACAAGTTTTAAATAATACCAATAGATTTTAATTCACAAGTTAAGAAAACGAGTTAGGGGAAATGCTATCCACCACCAAATAATCATGCAAGCATGTTATGTTTCATTCAAATGCCACAATTTTAACACAAAAATATCACAAAGACTTTAGAAATGGATGGTATAAATGCATGAAATATATGAGTGATCAAATACCCCCAAACTTACATTTTTGCTAGTCCTCTAGCAAAACAAAACACAAAACAACACCACTCAACTAAGACTAGATTCAACAACTTAGTAGCCAACTTCTCAACTTCGATTTCAGAGATAAGTGTTAATCATGATACAAACAACCAAGAACTAATCAAGAGCTCAAAACATCATCCAATAGTTAACCAAATTTTCTTCAAACAAAACGTTGAAATGCCATGTGTGAGCTAGCCATGTCAATGCAATTCCAAGCTCCTTTAAATCATCATATGCAAACATGTGAGTTTCTCACAAGACATACGTTCATTCACTCATAAGTTTTGGTTAATGTGTTTCACTCAAGTGATCTCATTGAACATGCCGCCATATGCTTGCTTGTCCACCTAACTCGCTTATCAATATTTAAGTAATACCTTGGATCAATAGGACTTTATTACGGTTGTAATGGGGCTAAAGGTGATAGGCTAATGAAAGAAAGGATATGGAAATCAAAAATTTTGAGAAAGTACACTTTGGTAGTTTTCCAACACCTCAATATCACACCACCTCAAATTGAAAGAAAAATAATAAAACCTCGAGCACCTGTTACTCCCCAAATTTAACTTCAAAAGGAAATTTATACTTTGCAGACATATTTTCAACAAATCAACACTCTCCACTTTTCATATATTTCTCTTTTTTTTTTTTTTTTTTTTTATTAATTGAAAGAAACAAATCTGCAAAAGCTACATCACCCATCAAATTCACATTTCATTGTAATACACATGCTCCATCCATCTTTCTACATAAATGAAACCCCCAAAAGCACAACCCATG